AGACACATTATGTTTCGTAATTACAGCTGAAACCGGGAGAAACTGACTATTCTCAGAGAACAGGCCCAGTTCTAAACATGGTCTCTGCCCCCAATTTTCACGCCGTAAACATCGCAACAAGTTGGACTTGTTCGCCCGGTTGCTTCCCCGAGGACAAGGGAACAAGGGGAACTTGGCCACAAAACCACACCCTGGCATCCCAAGACCCTCTACTTCAGACCTTTTGCGGTCTTGTGGCGTTAAGTCTTGGGATAGGGGCGCTTGCGCGCACAACTGGGTTTGTCTTGGATTGGGGGAACCCCGCCAATTGTAGGCTTTCCTTTTGGTTTCGCCTTGCCATCCAGTGACTCACTTCCCACGCGGATTGACCAAAGCAGGTCCAAACTTGTTCTTTCCCACTAAAATGGTCAAAGCAAAAAGTGACTTCTGCCCATGTCGGGAAGTGATAAAAAAAAAAGGTTTTCCGTTGGGTTCCCCTTCTCAACCAATCCATAGAAACGGTTGCCCAATAACCGCGACAGACTCCCTCACCTTTGGTCCGTGACCAGTGAGGGCAGCCAGCGCTCAAAGCTATCGAAGGCTTGCACCTCCTTTTCCTAGGCCAGCATGGACAGGTCTTGTTTTGAGACAACCAGCTTTTGCCTGGTGAATGTTAACTCACTGCCTAAGATAAGGCAGACAGGTCTGAACTGTTGATGTTCCACTAACTGGATCTTAACAAAAAGTATAAAGTCCGTAAATTTAGGGAGTGAGTAAAGGGGCACCAAAAGAGAAAGACAAAACCCGAACCGCTCTGACACAAACGCGCAAGCCAGACAAGCAATCCATCAAGCAAGCAATCAAGCAAGCAAAACATCCAACCACCCAAACCCTGGCAACTGTCGGTACGTGACATGGTGTACAACTCCCCTGTTCCAGTATATATATATACATATATATGTATATATATATATATATACATATATATGTACCAGTCCCTGGGCCACGTACCCCCCCCCATGGTATGGTCCCCCCACTCCCCCGCATCATCCGCATCTTGGGGATGATGCTGGCAATGCTGGGGATGCTGTCCAGTACCGCGAGCCCTGCAGCTTCGGTCCCAGACCCCCTTTCACCCCGTGAACCAACACCCCCGCACCTCTCGCAACATCCTACCCTTTACCAAACCACCCTTTAACCCCAACCCTAAGCCTAAATCAACCCAAACCCCAAACCCACCCGAAACCCACCGCAAACCAACCCTGAACCAACCCTGAACCAACCCTAAACCAACCCACCAAGCCTCAACCAACTCCGAACCACACCCCAACCACCCAACCCACCCCACCACAGACCCCACCACCCCACCACCCCCCACCACCCCACCACCCACCCACCCCACCCCCACAGGGGGGGGGGGGGGTTGGGGGGGGGAGGGGGGGTCCACGGCCTGGAACATATATGTGGATAGCGTGCAATAACATCGCCGCAAGGCTGCCTTGTATCAGCCCCCAAAAGCCCCAAAGCTAAGCGTCCTCCAGCATCTCTGTGAAAGCTGTCACCTTCAGTTTGGTCCTCTCCGCCACGCTCAGCTTGGCAGGGTTGCCTGACGTAACAAGAGGTCAACGCTCGGTCCTACACCATCATCACCGGTTTGGGGTTGATGGTACCTGATGGATCCACAGCTTGTCTACTAATGTATCTTGTTTTCCAAAAATCATCGAAGTGAACAAGAGATCTTCGCCAAAGAATGGACATTTTCCACAACTGTCTTGTCCACTTCCCATGGTTGTTGGAAACCAGGTGAACCACTTCTGCTACCATAGGTGTAACCCGGCCGAAGCATATGCTCGAAACCGCTACATAATCCCAATCAGCGGACCCAATCCTGATGACTTGAGCCCCAAGAAAGTCTAGTGGGTCCTCTCCAAAGGGGGTACCACAGCTTCAAGCTGTCAACAATTTGAATGTCAACAGGAACTGTCCTTACGTCAATATCAAACAAGTACCCGGAGTTTCCATGACCCTTCAAGAATTGGGCCATGACCCATCTATTTTGACAAGTGACTTCGTTTTTAAGGGGTCAGGGAGACTCGGCTGAAGACGCAAGTCGAACTTTGCCCCGCCTTCTTCAGCCTCGGAGTCCGAGGATGCCGAGCTGGAGACGGACAAGGGCTTCTCGCTCCTTAGCGAATCGGTTTCTGGATGGCTTCCAGACCTCGAAGTAGAGAACTGCGAGTTATTGGACATGTGTTAATGGTGCTTTCCCTATTGATAAAGGTCTCATAAAATAAATAATGTTTTCGGAAAAAAGCTAAATTCGAGAATACTAATTACTTTTAGAATAGGCCAAAACTAAACCAATTCTAAAGTAGATATTTTCCTGCCGGGGAACGTTTCTTTTACTACGGCTGCACTACAAAGTGGCGAACTTTGAGCCGGACCTCCGAGAGTACGTTCCCTTTGCTACGCTCGCACTACATAGTTGTGACTTTCGAGCCGGCTGACTGTCGCCCTCAAACCAAAAGCTCCCCAAAAAACTAAAGGGCGCCTCCGCAGTATTTTTTAATTGGGGTTTACAGTGATTGTTATGATTGGGGTCTGTGCAGCAAACACACATACACACATGCGCGCACCCACGCGCGCACACGCATACAAGGGCTGTCCCTCTCAAGCCACAATCATTAGGCCTCCAACCCTGTCTACTGCTGTTTAAGTTCCCTACTTGGAAATGGCCGTTTGATGTGATTTTGCAGCGCGGACAGGGGGCCGCAATTGCAGCAAAGATTTTACCTCAAAACCTCTCCAGAACCAAAGGCTCTCCAAAAAGTTTTGCCGGCAGGGGTTCTTTTTATTCAAGGGGGGGGGGGGCTTATTATTTAAGCGAAGGGAGTACCAGGCTTGAAAAACATTGTTTCCACTGGCAACTGGAAGCCCAAGCCATGTGGCTTTTCCTTTGGCACACACCATGGTAAAAAGTCTCCGGGCTTCCGTGGCTCCCAAGGACCGCGTTTTGAAGAAACATCGATCGGCAACATAAAGAAACTCAGGTGTTGGACATGGAAATCCACGGTTGCAACGTGATTCATCGAAGCAACTACTTCCACCGAGAAACAAAAACATGGAAGAACTACTGAAACCCCCAAGTCGGGATGCCGACCCGTCAAGCACAAGCGAAAACGCATTAGTTTGTCTCAAGTCTCAACGACAAACACAAATCCCCCGAATCTATTCAATCCCCTCACTTCCTAATTTAGCCAAAGCAAGTCTGACCGTTCTGTGTCCCGCCAACCTCCACTTCCCAATGAGGATTGGCTTGAGAGCTGGAGGGCAAAAGCGAGTTCCCTCCAAGCTCAGCTTACCAAACAACCACCCAATACGCCCCAAACCCAGTCCACTTTTGCAGGCGGCGGGCGCATCTTTGCCTGGCTCCTTCTTTTTGGCGTTCTTCTTCGTTGGCGCCGCCTGCGTCGCTTTCGTTTGTGCCTCCACCGGCACCACCAAGTCCAGCGGGCCGGTGGGCAAACTCCAGCGCGACTCTTTGGTCTGCGGGTTGTAGTAGTAGGGCACGCCGTAGGGCGAGGGATGCGCTTCCCAAATCCGTTTGCCCTCCATGGCTCACAAAGGCCGCGGGGTGAATAGCAGAATGTACCGTTTGGCCTCCCTCTGAAAAAAGGGGGGGGTTAAACATCATGTCTTGCCAACGAGTGCCAGGGAATTGAATAAAAGGTTTGAGAAAGCACATGTTAAACACATATTAATCCATCCCTTTTCGGGTTTCTTCTGTTGAATCTGAATCAACCTTGGAAAAGAAATGGATCCTCTGTTCGGAAACGCAGAACACCGCCGTTTTGCTGTTGCCTGCTGCTAGGTTGCTGTAACGACCCCATTTGACACAAGTCTATTTTTGTGAGTCCAATGGAAAGTCCACTGTTTCAACAGTTGCAGTCCAAAGACCAAAGACACATAGCCATCAAGCGCTGTCTGTTGCAACTCCTCGCTTCTGAGGGGCCAAGAGTCTTGGTTGCTGTTGACCCCCCTGCAAAAAGTTCAACTTTTTGGGGGTTTAGTGGAAAACACCTTTATTTCCCAAAAAGTTGAAGTCTAAAGATCCAACCCAATAGCAGTCAAGGAGTGAGGATTGGCGAGTCACTTGGGCAAGTCGTTTATATATTAGCGCCTCATGCCCGACGCAGTCAGGCTCCATGCAGCCATGTGAGGCGAGCCAAGAGTGCAAAGGCCGCCTGACCCAAAACGCTGGCGACAACCTCTCTTGAAATAGACATGGCATGCAGAACCGGGTGGGAGGAAGGAAGGCTTGTTTCACGCCCAAACCAAGCGGAAATAAATATTGAAGCCATGATGGGGGACTGCCGTGTTTAAGAACGGACCAAAATCCCGATGTTTGCCCCTTACGTCATGCCACGGCTCGAGGAACGTCATCAAAAAGCGGCATGTAGGGGGTGATGCTACGGGCTTGGAAAATGTCTCGCATAAACCATCCCCTATGGTTTCCTTTTTTGGGAATCCCAAAACAGTACATTCCATTTCTCATTGCTTGCATCTCTCGCACCAGCAAGATCACTGGGAGTCGTTCCCCTATAGAAGGTACACTCACTTGCCCAAAGGATCTGGAAATAAAGGGCTAATTCTTGGGACCTCTACTAACAATGGACCAACAAAGGGAAAACCAACAGGTCAGAAGGTTGGTTTGGGGGTCAACTGAGTTCCACATGTTGCCACATGGTTCCGCCTAAATTCCACTGACTTGCTTGTTGTTGGTCTCCTTCTTTCCCCCTGCCCCCAATAAATCGCTGCGTCGAACAGACACTGTGCGCTATCGCAAGGCACAAAAGACAGCAAGATCCTTGGTTGCTGTTGACCCCCCTGCAAAAAGTCTAACTTTTTGGGGGTTTAGTGGAAAAACCTCTTGATTTCCCAAAAAATTAAGGTCTAAAGATCCAACCCAATAGCAGTCAAGAATGCGACCGACCGGCCGCTCGGAGCTCCGAGGCCCGGGCTCTTGGGATCCTGCGCCAAGCTCCGCGCGGCGTCGCAGGTGTGCAGCCCGCAGGTGGCTTCGCAGCAGAAGCTTTGCGACTGGCCCGGCGGGTGGACCTCCTCCTCCGGTCACGGGTGAGCTCGCTCGCTTTCTGGTCCCCTGCTAAAAGTGAAGAACTTTTGGTGGCTTAATGACTCATTAGAAAGTCCTAACATCCCTTGGCAAAATGCACCAAAGGGTGAGCTAAAGGGGGGCCAAAGGGCTAGGTGCTAAAGCCACAAAGCCACCATAAGGCGACATTTTTTGCTCTAGGGGGTGGGACCCATGGGAGGGACGCCCCAGAAAACAAGAATTAAATTCCTGCCTGATTTCCCTTTGCTGTTTGATTTCCCCTTGACAACCCCGAGCAGGGTAGAAGCCCATGATGTGAAGCCCAACTAAGCATCCTTTGACCAAGCTCTCGCTGCAACCGCAAGAATGACATCTGCAAGACACAATTGCAAAGCCTGAAAGGTACCCCAAAGGCCAAGTCCCACACTGAGGTCCTTGCAGCTTCCCTGCAAAAAAAACAAACTCTCCATGCTTAGAATTCGAGGCCGAGTTGCGGCAAATCACAAACCGGCAAGGGAGCCCCCACGAAGGCCCGTTCATTGGTACCCAAGTGTGCGCTACACTCCAGCAAATGGAGCTCAGAAACCCATCGTTCTTTTTTTTACTGGAATCTCCGTGTGGGCGGGGGGCTCTCCTTGGTTCCATGTTAACTTGGCGGAAGTGGATGGGCAAACATTCCAAGTTGTACTTCCTGTTCTGCTGCGTTCCATGTCCAAGCGAATTTACGGGACACCGCCCACAACATGTAACTGGGAACCACCTCGCAAAAACATATATCATTCCCAACGAAACTTCACCAATGGGTCCCCCAAACAAAATTCAACGCCCAAGCGCAACTTGCGCAGATTGGACACGCCTTCCGCGCCGCGATCTTGGCGTAGTTCGGTTCGCAGACCACCGACTCGCAGGTCTCGGCACAGCAGTCCTGCGAGGGCGCCGGGCGAAACCACGCGGAAAAACCTGCGAAACAGCACGTTCGAATGAACAACCTCCCGAAGGACACCAATTCCAGCCAAACAAGCCATGGTCGAGAAAGATAGGATGCTCCTCCCTTTGTTCTTTCCTCTGCGGTTCGTTGATCACTTGCTATTTCTTATTCTAGTGGCATATGGTGATGAAGACGCTCCAGAAGCTAACCGTTTCTCCGTTTTAGATGACAAAAAAGACGCTCCAGAAGCCAAGAGTCTACCGGTTTTAGATGTGTGACTGGGAACTGCCAAGTCAATTTCGCCACACGCCCCAACAAAAGACTCCGAAAAGACGCGAAAGCGGCGAAGCAAGACGCGAAGCCAAACCTCACAGGCAGCAATATATCACATGCCAAAGGCAGGCGCCGAAGCATGTTTGGTTCCAGTCTCCACTGAATGACAACACTAACAACCATTCACGGTTCCAAGCATTTCAAAAAACTGGCTTAAAGTCAGTGAGTGATGATAAGTCACGTACGGACCAAAACATGGAAACCAGAAGTTTAAACGTCACCTCATCGGAATCATGAATCCCTCCAACTGCATGATAAAAAGCTACCCGATGTAAGCCAGGTCTGCCATGGTCTGCCCTTTCCTTTTCCGGAACACATGATCTACTGTACCTTGGAGGGAAATCAACTGCGCAAGAAGTAGGGAGGCTGTCGGCGTTTCGCAAAGGTACTTGTGCTCCGCACGTGCAGTGGAGCCGTATATTGGAGAACTTCAAAGCGAAAGGTCAACATGTCGATGCGCTTTGGGCAATTGAGGGCCTGAAATGGACATGTGTCAGAGTAAGCCAGCCCACAGGCACGCTTTGTTGTAAGAGGATCGCTTCTCTGAGAAAAGCACGTGGTGTCGCATGTCAGGCGCCCAAGCCCAGAAGAGCCTACTCTTCAAGTGGGCAAACCTCAACAAACATAAAACGATACTTCACGCGTCAGGCTTGGGGCCCCATGTTGGCTGAGGGCCGAACCGCTTGAAAGGGGAGATGATGCGCGAGTCTTGAGTCCGAAAACTGGTTGCAGCTTGGTTTCCGCAAGATTGATCGGCACCCTATTTGCAGCGGTCAGGTCCATAGCGGCAAAATGTTGTCCTTGGTGTGTGTGTGTGTGTGTCCATGCTTTCTTTCATAAAGAACCCCTCAGAGCTGAAAGGTAGACACAAATCTCCACCTAAATCAGTTCCACTAATATGAGCGTGGCTCAAAATTAAGCCACCAGGGGACGGCACATATTAGTCCATGTTTCCATTTAATTACCAGGGTTCCATATTGGGTACCCAGTTTTCACCCAACGCCATATCCGCCTGGATACGCGCCTACACGCTGCAGCCGCAGCCCCCGGAAACAAATTTCGCCTCCGGAGTGGTGCCGGCCACGTTGAGCATCTTGGGGGCCACCTACGAAACTCCAAGGCTCCGTCCACAAAACCGGGGTCTGTCCATCGCCCCCCTGCCGATGGGCGGGAGGTGGGGGGGTCCCGCAGCTTGAATCCGTTGCATAGGCGTCAGAGTAATCTCAGCAAATATGAAGGGTAAGCTTGGCCAAGATTTTGTTGCACCCCAGGGCCCAAGAAGTTCAAACAAAAGGAGATCTCTTGTTTGACATAAAGTTTCTGTACCTCTTGCTCTGATGTTGCCCATTGCAGCTCCCCGCTCCGTGCTCGGATGCTCGCCGGTCAAACACGGTCTGGGGTGAACATATTCAAACTGCGTATCAAACGTCCTCATTTGGATTTGATGGGCACGCATGGGGACTTATTTCCTCTAAATTAACACGGAAACCAAAAAGGTGGTTCTTAAAGAAAAAAACACTTACTCCACAAATGCTGGGTTCCTGCATTCCATGATGATCTGCAGGCAAGAAACGTTAAATTATCATGTAGCCCCAGGTTGTTGCTTTGGATTGGTTGCTTGAGGATTTGAACACCGGTACTCACATCCGGCCAGGGCGCATGTTGACCAACTGGGCATTGCATGCCCGCGCAGGTCTTGTCGCAACACTGCTGTGAGGAAGCACCGACGTTGTTCGCATAGGCCACGTTGGCAACCTCAGCTGCGAGAGGGGCAGAACTTCTGTGGATGGAACCGTTGGGATAAAGTCTAGGAATGCTCAACTCGGCACCAGCTTGGTGCATCCAGCGCTGGGCCTTAAAGCTTTAAGTGACTTTTTTCCAGGGGTTCGTGTGGCGGGCTTCCTTTCCCCCAGGCAATTTGAGCAATTTTCCCACCACCAAGAGGGACAAATTTTGAGGATGTCAAACTTACTCCAACTTGTATGGACACCACGGCCACCGAGCTTGCAGCTTCCGTCTTTGTGGGCTCAACCACGCACGTCGGGAAAGCCCTCTGCGGCACTTCCATTTCCTTAAGCCACCTGGAAAAAGGTTAAAATATTCCCAGTAGTGATAGATTCCCTACAAGGGAAAATAACAAGGGAATACTTGAGGAGCGGGTGAACGAAAGCTAGCAGTTGTTGCATGAGATGGGTCGGTGACAGAGTGGATTCATGGGTAGCTTGTGTACAACGAGAGGCCCGGCAAGATTCGTACGACACGCAAACGCACATGGTGGCGTGGCAAACCTTGAAAAATGAAAACAACAAGAGGCGTCAGAAGCTGTCTTAAAGCACCTCTGGGTTCTGCATGCTGCGTGTGCAAAGATTCTTGCGAGGTGAAGAAGACTGAGGTCTCAAATGAACAAGCTGAATCGGTGGAACATGTAAAAGTTCGTAGCACCAAGTCCAAAACGGGCAAACCGAGACTGCTGAACACTGAGCCACTGCCCGGGGGGGGGATGGACCAGGGAGGAATCGAGCCTGAAACCGGGGGGGGGGGAGGCGGGGGGGGGGTCTAAATAATTGATGTTTTTCAATCTTTTCGGCTCAAATAATTGAAGAAATCAATCTTTCGGCATTTGAGCCCCTTACCTTGCTTACGCAAGGAGAAACTTCAGCTAGCTAAAGCTAGCTTTCGTGATAACACCCTTGGGAATAACAAGGAAAATACTTCCCTTTGCTTAAGATGATATAAACCAACGAGGGAAAATAAGAAATCATCTTAAGCAAAAAAAAAATATACAGTCTGTGTATATATATATATATGTACACATACACCCTCCCACCGATTGGCATTGAACCTGACGTTCGGGGGGTCCTGGAAGACAATTCCTTTTAAAGGGACTCCCTGTCAGGTTCCGTGTTAAATTGGTGGGAGGGTGCTCGCAGAATTGTATATCTAAACATCTCTCTCTCTCTCTCTCTCTTTTTTCTGAAAGCTTGGGGGTCTTTGCCCGAGGCTCCGGGGTCCGGGGCTCTGAGGTAGTCCGGGGCAAGGGGGGTATGGGGCGGTTTCCAGGGGGCGGCTCGAGGGTTTCGAGGGTTTCAAGTGGCCGAGAGACGGGCACGAGGGATTTGATGCGTGGAATGGGTTCTGGGCATGATTTGTTGTGGAAGTTGCTCTCCCAACAAGTGAAAGCTATGTCGTCTTTGCCCACAGATTGTCTTCGGAGCAGCTCAGGGAGTGCTCTGGACAATTCCAAGGCGTTCTGCCGCCCGGGCTGCATTTGCCGGGCTTCTATATATGGGGCGTACTTAAGACAGCCCCATACAAACATACGTCAAAGGCATCTAGCCCCAGGGTTCATGCCGTGCCTGAGCTTGCCTTCAGGGAAGATTGACAAATTGCGTTCGCCAGCCGGGGAACCTGTCCATGCTTGAATTCCGTGTGTTCCCTGCAGCCAACTAGAGGTTGGCCTGAAACTGGACTTGCAAGTGCCTTGGACCATTTGGACCGCAGCGAAGTAGAGCTCACGACCCACCAAAACATGGCTGTGGGTCAAAAATAGGCACCCAAAATGCCTTGGTAAATGGAAACAAAAACATGGTAAATTTAAAAAATGCAACATTGTAAAACAAAAACAATGCCTTTTACCCACTAAAGCCTGTGGTTTTTTGGTGGTTTCATTTTGACCCATACCCACCTGGACAAGCCGCAAAGCCACTGCCGCAAGTGAACAACTTGCAGGTCCTTTGACAGCATTCCGTGTCGCTGGATCCTGACAAGGGTGATCCCGCTGGCATGGCATGGCTCTAGGGGTTGATTCCTTTTCCATTCTCCAACCCAACTCCCCCCCCTCCCGTTCCCCCAAAGAGGGTCCCTGCGACTGGCACTTCCGGCGCTTCCAGGGGGGGAAGAAGGTCCAGGGGTTGATGCCTTTTCCTTTCCTTTCAACCATCCTTCTTTTCAAAAACCGCTTTCCCAGGGTTGTGGTTTTCTAGACAGATCCGGATCCCTGGACAGAATGGGGAAGCAACCCTTAGAATGGCAGGAAAGACCTTCGAATGAGTTCGCTGTGGGTTGGAAAAGGCAGGAAGCTTCCGACAAAAAAGAACAATACGCAAGTGGATTTGCTGATTTCCTTTCTGGCATGGACAGTGGCTACACGCAACCAAACAGCAGCGAGCTAGCACGTCCACCCCTGCGGCATAGTGAAAAAATCATCTTCTCGCGACATAGCCGTGGGTGTACTTCCCACATATCGGCATGTTTGCAGCCTTCCTTGCAGCTTTGTAGGCACTGCTACACACGGAAGAAAAAAACAAAAAAAAATAGAACACGCGAACTCGCGTGCCTTTGGACACAAAGATCTGCAGGGAGGTCCTCTAGTTCCCAAGAAATTGCCTCAACCTCGCATTCCACGACGAGGACCCAGGAGCCGTTTGATTCTTTATCTCGCTGGTTCGATAGGCAGGGAATGGGGAAACGACCCCTATAAACCATCCCTCATGGTTGTCTTTTGGAGGGTGTTTAGGGTTCCCAAACTCAACCCGCAAGTTGTGGTGGGGCTGGCGAAATTGGGTTTATTGGGGTTGCATAAGCCTTACTATAACCCCCATGAAAATCCGACAAGAACATCATGAGGCACTGAGATCACGCTGCCCTCCGGCCCAGCCACTTTCTGAGAGGATGGCCAGACCAAGTTCAACCAAAAAGGTGCAACCAGCTTGAGACCTGCTAAGCTGGTCCTTAGCCTGAGATGGCCTTTCGGGGGAGTCAAACTGAGTCAGGATATTTCACAGCCACCAATTGTGGCCCTTGTACCAATTGTAGACTCTATGGGATCGTATGAAAGAGGCACCCCTTTGACGAGGGTGCCTGACTACTCGAGTATATCAAGAGCTGTTGTCACCACAATTTGTAACCCCTATTGGGACGATGGTAGATAGCCCATGGCTCCCAAACGGAAGTAAATAACATTGATAGGAAATAGGATGAGTAACCCGCTCACTTTGGGGGGGAACATCACCAAGGATATCACCAGCTTCAGAAAGCCGTTTCCGGACATCCAACTTGCGCCTGGTACATCGCCATGGTTGGCCTTGGGCACCCATCCGTCGCCTAGCGGCGATGGGCGTCATTAGGCTTCCCGACTCCCCTTTAGTTTCTCGGGAAAGGTTTCAAACACGAAGACCGCTAACTGGAAACCAGCTTAGGATGTGTGTCTCAATTTGATCTGCTACTGTGTGGGGGGGGGGGGGGACCAAAGCCCTCACCGTCCCAGGAAAGTTTCTTGACACTTTTGAGTACTGGAGCAGTTGCAAGCTACAACCCGGGTCCACCCCAATTGGGGTACACAATGATGCCGATGTTGGATCCCCGCCAAAGGGTTTCTTCCCAATAAACATGAGCCCAGAAGAATTGGCACTGGAGATGAGCCCAGAAGGGGAAGTCACAGGGTGTGTCCGTTCTTGTGATACTTTCAACATGGGGCTTTTCCTTTTGGCTTCGCTTCAGATCAACCCACGGGCCCCAATATAGGCCCTGATTCATTCATGCTTTGGTCTGAGTCTCAGGCTGCAGGCATAGCTGTGGCAGCTTCCATCCGTCACCGCCTCTTCCGAGATCTGTTGCAGCACCTGCCATGAGCTGCCACAGTCCGACTCCAGGTCTGTGCTTTGCTCTTGAGGGCACCCTTGTCTGGCTGGTTTTGACAGTTGAAACAGACAATCACTAAGAGGAAAACCGCATTTGTTGGGGAGGTCCCCCATTTTGGCGCACATCTAATGTGCAACTAGGGAACAATAAAACGCCTGTCACCTATTGCCTTTCATCATCGTCTTGAGCATGAATTAAGACAGAACGGAGCACACCGGTAGTCTGCTGTAAAACATGGTAATGGTATACACACGCGGAGCTATCCCAGGGAAATATGCTTGAGCTCTTAGACTCAGCAAAGTGTTCAAAGCTTGCAGCAAGCATTAAACGCGCACCTTGCGGCGCAAATGGGACCAAAACAAGCCCTCACAACGATTGGCGAACGAGGCTTCTTTTGATTGGCGTTGTTGGAGTTCCTTCACTTGATTTGCAGGGGGTAAAAGTACAACCAATAAGGCGACGAGCCCAGCGGCAATAGTCTTATGCTGGCTTCCCTTCAAGACGGGCCAAACAGGGGTCCGACTCAGCTTGAGTCATATGAATTACTACTGGGCGGAGAGTCAACAACCATGGCTTCATTGGGGCAGCGCTTGAGCTGTCTGCCGGCATGTTGGCTGTTCGAAGAGTCGCTCAGCCCATTGCTTAATGCAACAGCCATCCTGGACAACCAATGTTCGGGAAAAAGCTGAGCAAAAAGCATCAAATGTCACAGATCCCTGCTTTCACCTAAGCATGGCCCTCTATCCCCTCGGTGATTTCATGAAAGCCACCAGGCAACCTTCAGCTCTAATGCTTGGTGTTTCCTATCCAGGCTGACATCAGGGGCTTGGGTTTGTTGTTGCTTACTTGTTTTTGGGTTTGTTGTTCACCAAACGGGCATATCCGTTGCCCCGTGCCACGGTCTGAAATACTGACATCACAAGCCCCATACCAAAGAACCAATCCCCCGCCTTCCGCCAAAGAAAGCCTTACCTGTTGGGACCTGACATCCAAAGGGACACCAACACGTCAGGTCGATTCGCCTTTGGGCCGAGCCCTTGGCACTCGACGGAAAAAAGAAGAGAAAAAACACATGCCGGCCAGCGCCAGGCTTGTGGCTTCTGCCACAGCCTGTGGGGACATCAAATCCTTGGTGTCAGTGCCGGGGCCCCACCATGTGGCCTCACAAATAACCGTAGGTAGCATTGATGACATATATAGACAAAACAATATATATATATATATATATATATATATAGATGCATGCATGCATGCATGCATGCATGTGCATGCACGTATGCATGTATACATGTATGCATGTGTGTATATAGGCATGTAAGTATGCAAGTATGTAAGTATGCAAGTATGTAGGTAGGTGTGTAGAGGTATGTAGGTAGGGAAAGCACCATAGCTTGTGTTGCCTTCAAGGGAACCTTCACCAAAAAGGGATGAACGTCTTCATGTGCTATTTGGTACATTTCAAAACCATTTCAAAAACCAACAAAACAACTTCCCCCTGAGTTCATGTCAAAAGGAAGCTGCTCAAAGAAAAACAAACGCGAAACCGATGCTACCAACTTCAGTCGACCGACCCCCCCCCAAAGCGTCCAAGGCACATCCTGGAGTTCCGAGCCTTGGAATGGACGCATTCCGTTTTTTCTTGTTGGAGTTGGCTCGCTTTTCAGGTTGGCTTAAAGCGAACGCACCAGGAAAGTCACCTCTTTTTTGGGGGTCCCTCCACCACACCAAGTAGACCCCACCAGGGTGAAAGTGAAAGTAGCTGACACAACTCCCAGCAGATGTGGCGAAACAAGATTCACATTTTCCCGGCCCTTAGCAAAAAAAATCGTCGAGGGTTCCAACTGAACCTTTTGGAGCTTCCTCAGTGCTCGGAATAGACCCTCCTCCACCTCTCTTGGTGGCTCCAGTTGCCATAGCGTCAGGGGACTTTTGTACCTAGAAATGGCAAACCAACTGGCTATCTAGAGGAATCATGTTGAGAGCTTGCAGTTTCGGTTCACGTAGCGGCCCTGTGCAAACGGTGCCCGTCACAGAGGCATCAGCAAAAAGCAACAAGTGCTTCCAGTTACCTCTATTCTGGCTAGCCCAAGAGTTTTCTACCTTTGTGCAAAAAGCGTAGTTCCGTTTCTTGGTTGCCGATCGTGACTGGAACTGAGTCCATACCAAAACTTGAAAATCCAAAAAGCTAGTCTTTCTGAAAGAAAACAAAGGCATTCAAAAACAATTGAATTTTAATCGAGTTAGCTCTTTTTTAACGTTAGGCCGATTCAAGGGGAACCTTTTAAAACTCCCTGTGCTTGCATATCTCAACGGAATGAATATATTCATATGTATGTATGTATGTATGTATGTATGTATGTATGTATGTATGTATGTATGTATGTATGTATGTATGTATGTATGTATGTATGTATGTATGTATGTATGTATGTATGTATGTATGTATGTATATGAAAATGTAAGTACCAACAACTGCTGTTTCCCATGTCCAAAACCCCAAGTCCGAAAAGAAGTCCGAAAAGCAGTGGTTGGCACATATGTCTATATGTATCATATTATATATATATACATATGCGAGTGTTGTATGAATTCATTTCCGTATGGCCCCCGCAATTCCAAGCGACTGCATCGAAACGATGTCCAACAGGGATCCTTGCATTATACACCTGAGCATTGCCTTGTAAATGGTGGTTAAAAACCATGGTTGCAACATGTATCTATTAAGGAGCCCTGTCCAAGCAGCTGCTTTGGAGCGTCAGGCTCTGTTTAAAGGCAGCCGCCGGCACCAAAGCAAGGAGAACCTACGAGGCGTGTCATGTGCGACGGGACAAGGCCGGGCTTTTCCGTTGAGAGGGCCCCACTCCCCACCGATATGGCTGTGGGTTGCAAAATAGGTTCCGAGAATGGAACCGTGGTAAATGGAACCAAGGACTAAAACCTGCGGTCCCTGGTGGTCCAATTTTGACCCATACCCATATGGGTATGTCTTTCTTTAGGGGACCCCTCAAAATTGTGGTTTTCCTTTTGGCACCCGTTTTAAAACCAACCAAAAAGGGGGACCCTCAAACAAGACACACCCATATCGAGCAGGCCTGCATTCTTGGACCGTACTCCTTGTTGCATCAGGAACCAAGTGGGACAAACACGTGGTGGGAGACCACAGGTAAAGGGGTAGGGGTCAAGTTGGGCCAGCAAGTGGCCTCAAATGGAAACCCCTGGAAACTTCACAAGCCGCAAGGCTTCAAGGACTGATGCAGTTTCAATCATAGGCAGGTTCATCATGTTTGCGGCCTGATTTCAATGAAATGAACTTGCAGATCCTGGGATACAATTTCTGCAGGTGATGAAGCCAAGGTAGCCATGGCCCCTGCTTCCGGGATGACCACCCATACACCATGAGCATAGCCCACAAATCTTGCCTGAGCAAGGGCCCACAAGCAAGAAAAAAGCAAGCTGCAAGTGATTATCTCCACCACAAACAAGGATTTCTTGCAGATGCTCCCCTAGGTGTTTCTTGGAACGAGTCAAGTGGACATAAGTCCTGGATTCAGTCTCGTGTCATTCATTGAAGCTGCACCCCGCCTTCTTCATTGACATGAACCTGCAGGCTGGTCACAAAGACTTGCTTCCAGATTTCATCCAGTCCAGGCAAGTTGAACGCCCCAAGTGCTGATTTCACCTGTTGCTTCCCTCCGTTAAGCACTTTTGAGGGTGAACTCTGTTGGTGGGGCATCCAAACCTCCTCTAGTGGATGTTCTTTCTCCACCTCCCCAGCATCGAGACCAGGTGACAAAACTGGGCACAAAAAATGACATGTGTGCGCACATGTATGCCAAAAGCCTGTGGCCAGGTATATGCACCAAGCCAAGCTTCCCTGTGCGAGGCTCGACACCTTACAAGTGCAAACTACCCTCTACAGCCGTTAATCGCGGCAGGCCCGGCCATCAAACTTCCATAGCAAATGCCACCTTTGATTGGCAGCGCGGGTTGGCACGAAACAAAACTTGCTCGGTTAGGAACACCTGGGGTGGCAGGCCAGTGGTGAGTCCTGGGTTTGTCCGGATGATGAAGCCCAGGCCAAGCAAACGGCACAGCCCGCGCAAAAAAGAAACTCTTTTGAGGCTCAAGTCCACAGCGGAGCCCGCCAAACGACCACCAGGTGCCACCGAACCGGGAACTTGGAGGTAGCCTTCTAAACATGAAAGTTCACAAACCTATCCACAGGGAAGATCGCCGATTCTATCGAACATTGGTGTAGAAAGCCAAAAGGGGGGGGAGCTTCAGGAATGAATTGCGGGACCTAAGCCAAAAGGACAGCAACCCACCAAGCGTCCAAGTCCCATGAGGTCTGTGCACCAAGACCTGTTGGGCTGGAAATCCTCTGCAAGTTCTCACGCGCCTCAAGGCTGGCATCCAGCCCCTAGCTCCGTAGCTCGAGCCAAACAAATGCGCCGGTTACCGCCGGTTCCTGTGGATGACCTAAGGCACCATGAGAATCCGAATTGCTTGTTGGTATTTACGTTGGGGAATCGTCATTCCAGGGTTGCTTGGGTGATGCAGGATGCTGTCCATCCACAGTATCATCCCTATGAGCTAGAAATCATGCAATCTTTGAACTACTCGAATGGATCTGAAGAGCCACGCAAGTCAAATCAATCCACCTTACTCCCGACAACGCTTCCTGCCCCGAAAGGAAACCACCCGGCGCGCTTGCAGCCCGGATTCATCTACAGTCACATAACAAATGACCGCGTGCTACCAAGCAAGGGGGAATGTATCAACACGGGGTCCTCTTGATGCATGCACAGATCCTCGGCAAATGACACAATACCCGGGGGGTTAAAGCTCGCACAGGCGGCCCAGGGTACTTCATGAGTTCATGCTTGTAGGGGCAACTAGTCCATTCCGCAGCGACCATGGAAATTGCTTCTTGGACATGCATGTCTATAGGCTGCAGGAATCCGTGCTGGAGTGCTTTGGCAAATCGAGCCTACATTGCGCAATTCCGGCCCAGTGGTCTTGCGAAGAAATGGAGCCCCCTTTCTTGGTGATTGGTTTTACCAGCCAAACAAATAATAAGCCACGCAACATAACAGAATGTTTAAAGCAGAGACGGCCTTGAAGACAGGCACAAACTTTTGCGCCTTGAGCGAACGCAAGGGCCTGTGCTTGTAGCAAGGGGCTCCAGTGCGCGAGTTGACTCAGTAGCTCGGCAGAAGAAAGGGCACCTGGTTGGGGGTGACCCGTTTTGGTGGGTAACGCACCATCGGGATACGCTGGGAGATGTTAGGCTACAACTTGGAGGTCACAGTATGTTGCTCAACATCCCAGTTGAGCCTCGCACTGTTCAGTCGCATTCATCCTGTTATGCCAACATCGGATAAAGCCGAGGGACCGTGGCAATCCGCAGTCCACAAAATGACCCAAGAAGAAACCTCAATTTCCACGGTCCGCGTTCATTCTACACGTCTTCATGTTCGAACTTGGAAACAAATGTCTCTGGCACCAGAGGGTAGTTCCTCTCTTCGGTCATTGGCACCGTCGAAGCTGCCCTGCCTGGATGTCGGGCCTGAGAGAGTGCCAAGGGCCAAGGGAGGCAAACAACAAACTGACCGGAGCAAGTCTTAACTCTGCGCCACTTCTGCAGTGAAACTCGGCCCTGTTCCCATGGGTCAAACAAACACATCTGGAAGCTGAAGCTGAAACGAGTTCCGCAAAATTCAGCTCAGCCGGAGTTTGGTTAGTACATGCCTGGAACCTAGCTGGATTCAAAAGCGATAAACCTGGAATTGAGCTTCATGGAAACATGTTAACAATAACTCAATATAGTTCCGTGAAAAGTGTGGACTTTGCACAAGGTAGCTATGGTCACATGATCACGGCTCGACATAGAAGCACTCTACTCTTCCTGGTGGCTTCTGCTTTGGGAGATGCAAATCTTTGCATCTGAGTTGCCAAACTTTACAGGTGGGTGGAGCAACCATCAATCACACCAAGCCAATAGATACACTCAGCACACATTTCAGAAATGTCCCAAAACATGTCGCGGGGTCCCATGTTAGCACACTCATTGTTGCTCCCCTTTTCTCAGTTTGAAAACGCGTAGGTGTTCAGCAAAAAAGAGACACGACAAGACAACAGAGGATAGCCCAAATAGCAAGGATGCTCTGGAGCTTCCAAGCTTGGGGCTTTGCCTCAGGCTCTGCCTTCAAGCTTACGGCTTGGGGCTTTGCTTCAGGCTCTGCCTTCAAGCTTACGCTTGCAGAAGGCCGGCGAAAGAATTCTTGACCCTGTGAAACCAAGAGAGTAAATAAGGCGAATGGCAAAACGAGGCTGAACAGATTCTGGTTACTCTGGCCCAAGGGCCGTCTGTGGGGTCCTGACGCGCTCACTGTTTCGAGCTTCAATCTGGTGGGGTTTCAGGGGCTTCTTTTCGATTTTAGTCATGAAGAAGGTGGCCTTGCTTCTAAATAGCTAGATAACACCACAGGCACCCAGGCGGGGGGGGGATCCGGAAGAAAGTAGAATCTAATTTTACTACGCAGCAAAAAGCACACCCCACACTTGCCAACTGCAACCGCCCACCTCACACAGGCGCCGCAAACTCAGGACTTTTGACGCCGCCAGAAGTGCTGAGTGGCTGAGTGGGTCCCCGAGCGGCGGGGCCATAGGCTGGGTGGCCTCACCTCTTGGGAGTTCAAATTGGAGGCTATTTAGCACTCTGATTTAGTTCCTGACAGCTTGACTCGTGTGCTTTGAGTGCAGGGAGCTGTCTGAGCAGGTTGATACCCTCCCATGGCTTGCAAACACAGTCCTACCAGATGTCTGCACCAAGCCATGTTTGCAGGGCAAGGCGTACTTCGGAGTCTGGCAAATCGGGTGGTTCCCGATTGTGGGTGCCTGAAATCGTCTCCGATGCTCTCAGGTGTCCAAATCGATCCGAGGACACTCCAAGCTTCAGCCTCATGCGAAGCACCCCTTAGTGCTCACTCGGACCTCAGCGGGCACTTCAGTGACGCACTCGAAGCTCAGCTCTGGGTGCTGATGTAGCTCTGCCTGATGCAAAACGCTCTGGCACAGCTGAAACTAAGTGAACCAGGCGAATTCACCGCACAAGCTTGGTGCAGTGGGTCTGTGTGTCTCAAAACAGGAGACCTCAAGAATTGCGGCTGTCCTTTGGCCTGCCCCACCCCAAAAAGATAGCCTGGACGTGTTCGCCGATGAGAGACACCACAGTTCGCATCATAGCTCCTCCTGTGGCCGAAGGGCTGGCTACCGTCTTCGGCTGGCTTCATGTATTGGATCGCGGCTTGGCATGTCCATTTCGGCCTTCAAAACCCGAGTGTTTCATATTTGGACCAACCTCTTGGGAGTACGATGTCATACCTAGACCTTCCTTTTGATGCAGCAGTAACTGGTTGCTGTTGACCCCCCTGCAAAAAGTTTAGCTTTTTGGGGGTCTAGTGGAAACCCCTTGATTTCCCAAAAAGTTAAAGTCTAAAGATCCAACACAATAGCAGTCAAGGCAATCTGCCAGTATTCTGCTGTATCAATTGCGCGCGTTCGGATGAGCATCTCCGTTTCAGATGAACTGTCAATTGCAAGTAAATTTTCCCAATTCCACGCTCAACTCTTCCGCTTAAGATGTGCGCGGCCAGTGTTGCTCCTTTTGGTGGCAAAAAACAACAACAACACACGTTGTGCGGACAAAACAAACGCCTGGCGTCAAGCACAAACCTCTTCGTGTTGCACCTATGTTTGGACTGTTCTCATCTATGGGTTCGACACCGTGACACGCCGTGAAGCCTGGGCACAAGAGTCAAAACGGCAAGGTGGCAAACTGCGCTTGTCGCAAGGGTAACTGGAACATATAGCTACAACATATCCCGAAAGGTTCTATATGAACACCGGGGATGCATGCGATGAGTTTGGAACCCACCAAACCAGCATACTTTTCGTGCCCTCCAATGAAGCACTTGACGTGTTTCGCATCGAGGGCCCTGGGCACTTCTGGCCGTGCGGTGGCCTAAGTGATCCTTTAATTTGAATGCTAAGTGCCCTTTTTGGCTTGATAGGGGTCGGGATTCTGTTGAAATCGAACAGCTACCCGGGGCGAAGTGTTGCAACTGCCACATTTGATTGGGGCCGACCCGGAAAGCCCGAACATGGCGTTTTGAGTGTCAAAGCGTGTCATTTGAGTGTCAGTGGGGGTGCGAATCGAGGTCACTTTCCCCTTGAAAAGGTCACTTACGCTAGTGTCGGTCCCCTCTGCGTGAGTGTCATTTGCGTGTCCCTTCAGCTCGATTTGCCCAGCGTCGGGCCCCTTCCCGTGGTGTGAGTGTCATTCGCATTGACGTGTGGCTGCGGCTCGAATTGCCGGGACTGAGGAGGGATCTGCTGGGGAGGGCAACCCTGTGGGTCTAAGTGGCCTTTAAATGGCTTAAGTGACCTCTTTGATTTAGAACTAAGTGCCCTTACTTTCAAAATGGGTCATAGCACCCAAAAAATGAATCGAGGGCACTGAAAAGAAGCTGGAACATCAAACAATTTGAAGGGCACCACTCAACGACTGAAAAGTTGAAACGTGACTACTTTCCTTTGGGAAAGAATGCGCACAGCTATCTAGTTCCAAAAAGGGCGGTCATCTCATGCAGCGCCCAGGTGAATCGACTGTCCCTGGACGCTTCAACTGGCAAGCCGGAGACGTGGCAATCCAGAAAATTAAGCCGAAAAGGGCGTCTCCACTACAACTTGGGACCCAAGAAATATGTGGTTTCCCCTTGCTCGTCTTTTGGATTTCCTTTGGTTTCTCCTTTCAATTATCTCCAAAGCTGGTACCTGAAAAACACACAGCCAACAGGACTGCAATGTCCAAAGCAGGGCTTGTGCAACATGACTGCCGCTTTGGGTCCATGGTTTCATGCTGCCTGTGAAGGGCAGCAGGCTCGAGGCCCCAAAGCACAAAATATCCCCATTATAGGCATGCTGGTCGAACATGGTTTCTGCTGCGGCACTTGAGGTTCTGCCCTTGACCTTGTTGCCACGGTCTTAAAAAACTGCCCCACAGTGTTCCACATCTCTGTTCATGTATACGGATACCATGAAGTGATATGGGCTAAAGAGGCCACGGAACTTTAGCATTTCAAAGTCAGCCACAAATGCGTTCTGAGGGGAGCTGATGTTGACCAATCTTAAAACTATCAAAGCGTGACCCCAAAATGACACATGTCGGGATCCGCCATCTCTGTCAAAGGCGAGGAACACAAGCTCCCATGATCATGCAACCTGGGGAAACAGCGTCTTGAAGTCAAACAATACGTTTATGCCCGGGCGCCCCTGTGAAAGGAATCCTTATAGGAGGACCAGAGTATGCTCGGTAGGTAGATGGAAACCGCCAGGCTAGCGCACAAGCGAGAACATGCAAACAACCAACAGTGCATTCTCACTCCCTCTGGGAACCGCTCCGACCCCGTGATCGGTCACATTGCAAGGCTCAAAACAAAAGCACATCCATCCGAGCATCAACCCGTGGATTCCTCAGGGACTCGCCGTTCCTTTTCGCCGCGCTTTTTGCATCTGCGTCTTTCGTGGCTCCGGGCGTTTCCCACCAGTGGCAGTGCTGCGCCATCAGCCACGCAAGTTGCTTCGGGCCCACGGGGATTTCCTCAGCAGCGTCTGCGGCCGCCGCCGGCAGTAGCTCCAGCCTGTAGATGGAAAATAATCGGAAGCCAGGTGAATAGAGGCCCCAAGGGGACAAGGTTGCTTGAAGTGGTGGGACCCACCCACCAATGAAGTTAGGACATACTTGAATCTTGAATCAACATTTGTGGTGCAATTTGCATGGCCGCACCATACCCAAACACATCAAATACAATATCACCAGAGATTCGTGGCTCGCGAAGCCACAAGCACAACTTCATTCATCTCGGTCTCAGCCAAAATTTGTTGGCATTGCCGTGCCAGTGATACCAGTGACACGGGCCTTCGCAACCGAGTTCAAATCGCAACGGGGAAAGGGATGGTACGGCCAGCCGAGATGCATGGATCGGAACCAGTCAGGGTTGTTGTCGCGCATCTGCTGGTGGTACCTTCGGGCGGGCAACAGATTTGACTAACCGCCAACCGGACTGGCAATGAAGGGTCCGGACAAGAATAAAGCACCACAACGAACGCGGCCTCCTTTTGGACACTCACCCAACAACACAAAATGCGTGGTGATCTCTGGCAAAACCTGGAAAAGCTGATTCATCCCCTGAGCTCTAGGGAAGCCACAAATGATATTATGGGCATTTAAAGACCGTGACTCTTCGGAAAAAAACAAAAAAAAACAGAGTATGGGCCATTCGGCATACATTCCAAGGTAGAACCAAACTGAGCTGTTCAAAATGCAGAGTCGGCCAACCCTAATCCGTAATCCATACTGGAAATTCATTACAAAGGGCACTCCGTTCGTAAACCAAGGTAATCAAAGTCGGGAGTTCCTTTGAGCAGCGCACTAAATTCCGCATATTTTCTCTGGAGTCCAAACAAAAAAACGGAAAACACAAAAACAAGTGGCCAAAAAACACCTGGCCAAAAAGGGTGTTTCAACGAACAAAAAGGCCAGCCAAGAGCCAGGATACCAGTGGATCCCTTCCAGCATCTGCTCCCGTTCAGGGCCCACGTGTGATCGTACTGCTGACTGCAGCTCGCAATCCCGGAAGACGTACCTCAGCCCCCATGTGTTGGAAAGGGCGGGGTTGAGACCCTTGCCGTAACTATTGTTTGCGTGTTTGTTTGTTGGCTTGTTGGCTTGCTTGCTTGGTTGGTTGGTTGCGTGGATGGATGGGATGGATGGGATGGATGGGATGGATGGGATGGATGGGAGGGATGGGATGGGATGGGATGGGATGGGATGGGATGGGATGGGATGGGATGGGATGGGATGGGATGGGATGGGATGGGATGGTTGGTCCTTGACTTTTGTTTGTGTGGGGAGGGACCAAAGGAAACAGACAGAAAGTAAAACAATTCACCGGGGTCTACGGAAGTAACAAATCAACCAATCAGCAAGCACTAGCGCCTGCTGCAAATTCCTGGGATATCAAAGCTTCAACTTTCTGGACACCCTTCAAACTTCAACATGTCAAGCAAAACTGACCGAAGCAGGTCAGAAGCCCAGTTGCCGCACCAGCAGCGGCCGGAGCTCGGGCAGAAAAAGGCACCGCAGCGGCAGCGGCACGGCGCTTGCCGCTGCGTTTGGCAAAGCGGCGCCGGCTTCGCATGCGGCGGCCGCAGCCGCGAACGTGGTCATGCTGTCCACATCTTCGGTGGGGCTATTGACGGGCGCTCCTCAGCGCGGCCCCGGCTCAGCCGGCTTTTGGACAACTTGAGACGGATTAGCTGTGAACAACATGGGATTAACAACAAGGATCGTACTAAATTGTGTGGTGGGGATCAAGCACGTGTTGCTAAGTCAAATTGATGCGGTCCTGGGAATTGATCCGACTTTTACCTGAACTGGAGGCTTGAGCGCCAGAAATATGGGTGCCCTACTTTTTTTTGCCGGGATTGGAGCAGTGCCGGAGTATGAGGCATGGCTGTCAGTTTCCTCACGTGGCAACATGTGGCAATCCTGCAGCTCAACCAAACACACCCCCCTGATGCTTACTGTTCAAGATTTGTCTTTTTCATTCAATCGCAAGCAATGTTGAACCCAATTTGCTCAATTTGGAATTGCCTTTGCCTGTGTGCACCGGCCCAGCTTAACATGAGACTGAACACAGCAACAGCCCCGACTCGCGAAACTCAAATAGATCGGACTTAAGTCGACCTGATCAGGTCCAAAGATGAAACATGCGCGCTGCGCGCCTGCGCACCAAAGGGTGAAGCAGTAGCGCTTCCGGAAGTTGGGAAGCACCTCGTGGACCATCCGAGGGTGGAACAGCCTTGGCTGAGCATCAAGGCTTTGGCTAGCCAGGTTTTTTCTTTTTCATGGGGAGACAAGGACGTCTTCCCCGATAGCAGCAAGGATAAGGCCAAAATGAAGGCAGAAGACGAGTCATAGAGCCTTGTTATAGGTCTCAAATGCCTTGCCAACATTCAGCCCCCAGTGTCAAGCCATATGGTATCACTTGGTATCACCAACCTCAGCAAGCAGGACCCGTAGTGTGCATGCGCACGCCCTAAGCCACCAAGCAAAACTCGCAGCCCACTGCCGCCACTGCCATCCAAGCCACACCACGCGGCCATTTCGTGGAGCGATCCTCTTCGGCGGCAGCGGGAAAGGGTACAAACGCAGCTCTCCTCCGTGGTCCTTGGCGCGGTTTTGCCACGCCGAAAAACGACTACCTGAACCCTCAAAATTCCCTTAACAATGGGGTTGACCCCCAAAATTATGGGGTGATATCCCAGTTTTATGGGTAGTTTGAGGGTCCAGGTATAGACTTGTTTTCTTGGCACGTGCTGTCTAAACAGCAAGGCTGGAATCTCACTCGTCATCGCACAAGACACTGTTGGTGGGGCAAGGGGAACCCTGCGAGCAAGACACATCCAAAAAGCAAAGGCTGAACACGAAAACAAAGACTCCACTAGTGTAATTGGGTCACACCTAAGGAGAATCAGGCAAAAGAAAGGCTTCTCTTTGCAAGGGCTCTTCCTCCCAGCCATCGTTCAGGTAGAACAGCGCCGTGGCAAGTAAGACCTGTGTGGAGTCCTGGTCGCAGCGTCCGGAAGTGCAAGGCATCCTACCAAACGTGGCTGCCGCAAGTGTCGGGGAAGGGGGTCTTTTGAACAGGGACCTGTGCACTTCCAGGTCTCTTGGCGGGCATGCTTTGTTGGGACTGGGACTATCAGCGGTAGGAGCGAGCAAAACCTGAAAGTGGCGAACGGCTCTCGGGTTGGTTTCAAGCGAGCCACATAAGTCTTCATCAAACCTGGTATTAACATGGTCAACCCTGAAGCATGCAAAGACATCCAAAAGGCGGCTGCTCCCAGTTGTGGTTGGGATTCTTCCGGGTCTTGATTGTGGCTCAGATCTTGTTCAAACCGTCCGATTTAGGCCACGGAAGGTTGCCGGGTCGGTCAGGGATGCCTTCCACTTCTAAGTGGGGAGGTGGAGGAGCTGAACTCACATAACTGACTCTGACTGACATAATCAGACAATTCGCCTTCCAAACCAACCAAACAGAAACTCCCAAAACAAGACACACCCCATGTCAACTCCGTTTGAGCCCTGAAAGACATCTTCAGCGCATCTCCAGGGATTGGGTTGTTTCTGGGTTTTTCTAGAAGAAGGATCTCTGAACCGCTTTTTTTGGGGCCCTTGGAGCTTCCTCTGCCAGTACGCCGGAATCTGTGTGCATGGTGTAGCACCCGCCATTGCCCAGGTTGATTTGCAGCCTCACATGTTGCCTGAGCTTGCCGGGCACTGCAATCGGTACCCCAACAGCACGCCAATTGGTTCGATCCATTTTGGGTGGGCCCAGCAAGCAGGGGTTTGCATGGATTTACAGGGTAAGCTACCAGGTGCAGCGTCACTTTCTCAATAGGTTTGAGGTGAATAGCCTACCTGTTGCAGTGCTTCTGGAAGTACACAGCGGAAGCCAAAGGAAAGGCTACATAGTTGTCCTATGCGTATGCCTGGATATGAATGTAATAATGGTTTTCTTATTGTATTGTGATGTCATGCAATGCATTGCAACCCACGTTTGCATGCATGTATGTAAGCATCTATAAATCGATGCATCTATTTATGTATGCATAGCTGTATGTATGTATGTATGTATGTATGTATGTATGTATGTATGTATGTATGTATGTATGTATGTATGTGTGTATATGTACATGTATGTATGTATGTATATGGATATGTTTATGTATATGTATATGTACATGTACATGTATATGTAAATGTATATGTATGAATATGTATGTAAAGGTATGTATATGTATGTATGTATATGCATATGTATGTATATGTATGTATATGTGCGTATATGTATGTATATGTATGTATGTATATGTATGTAGATGTATGTCTATGCATGTACATGTGTGAGTATGTATATGTATGTATATGTATGTATGCATGTGTATGTGTATGTATGCGTATGCATGCATGCATGCATGCATGCATGCATGCATGCATGTATGTATGTATGTATGCGTATGTATGCATGCATGTATGTATGTGTGTATGTATGTATGTGTGTATGTATGTATGTATGTATGTGTATCAATGTGTATGTATGTGTATGTATGTGTATGTATGTATATGTATGTGTATATATATGTGCATGCATATGTATGTATATGTATGTCTATGCATGTACATGTGTGATGTATGTATATGTATGTATGTATGTATGTATGTATGTATGTATGTATGTATGTATGTATGTATGTATGTATGTATGTATGTATGTATGTATGTATGTATGTATATGTATGTATATGTATGTAGATGTATGTCTATGTATGTATATGTATGTATATGTATGTATATGTATGTATATGTATGTATATGTATATGCATGTACACGTCTGTATATGTAAGTATATGTACTTATATGTAAATGCATATGTATGTACATGTATGTGTATGTGTATGTATATGTGTATGTATGTATGTATGTATGTATGTGTATGTATGTGTATGTATGTGTATGTATGTGTATGTATGTGTATGTATGTGTATGTATGTGTATGTATGTGTATGTATGTGTATGTATGTGTGTGTATGTGTGTATGTATGTATGTATGTATGTATGTATGTATGTATGTATGTATGTATGTATGTATGTATGTATGTATGTATGTATGTATGTATGTATGTGTGTGTGTATGTATGTATGTATGTATGTATACATATGTATGTCTAGGTATGTCTATGTGTGAATTTGTTTTTGCTGTTCAACAATATCTTATATATAATTTCATGTGTGTATAGCTGTTCATTTATTCATCTATTGGTTGATCGACTTTTTTCATATTTACTTCTTGCTTGTTTGGGGGGCATGGGTGGTTTTGCCTTCATGTCCACAACAAAGCGTAGAAATAAGCGTCCTCCGTTGGCGCGTCCCTGGACAAGTTGGCTGGAGGCGTGCGCTATCCAATTCTTGGACGTCGGTTTCACTTACAACTAAAGGGCCTGAAAATCAAAGGTGACCGTCTTTAGCGGCCAGCCAACCAACCAACCTACCAGCCGACCAGGCAGCCACCGGACCCAGCAAAACACCAGCCCTAGCACAAAAACAACACCTCATCCAGGAAAGCCCTCCAAGCCAAAAACAAACAAACAAACAAAAAACACACTGAGGGTCTGGGTCCACGGTCCAACACAACAGAAACCTCGGCTCGAAGTTGCTTCGGCAAGCCAAATGCGCCGGGAAGCTGTTCTGTGGTTTTCTCTGTTCACTAAGCAAACAGGGGTACCAACTCCAAGAAAAACGAGCCACCCCATATTTTCCATGGCCCCCACACAATCCCAGCCTGGCGACATGGACAGTTCGCTCAGCGCTGGTATCCGCCGCAAGGCCTGCAGCAAGCCTTGATCCGTTTCCATTCGGTCGAAGGTGGGCGCTGTGTCCCGGACTTGGCGGAAGTCTAGGGAGGTCTCGAAAATGTCCTGAGTGGCGCTGCAACGTATTGGCATGGCTTTCCCTTGGAAGCCAGCGATGGTGCACCTAGCCCTACCCCGAGATGCCGCAGTTGCGTGTGTAACATGTTTGTAGCGGAAGCGACGCAACTCCAAAAAAGAGAATGGAGCTCCTAACGAGAGCCCCTCTTGAAAGGAAAACGGTAAGCCAACGGGGCCTCATTCACCTAGCTGCTGAGTGACTCTTGTAGATCAAAGCAACCCTAAGCATTATTGGAATCATCGGACTCTCCATTGGAGAGGACTCGATCTCCATTTGAAGTGTTTGCCTCACCAGTGCCCTTTTCCAAGCCTTTTAAAGCCACAATTTGGCCAATCTTGGAATTAATGGCAACAGCAAACCCAATAGCAACAGCTGAACGCTATTGGGGGTCAACCACAAGGTCCCTAAACACGAAGCCCCCAGCGAGGCAAGGCGCGTGGTGCGCGGCACCCTCGTCCTGCGAATAGGACTGGCTCTGCCACATCTGGCCTCCGGAATTTCGCGAGTTCGGAGCTTTTGGCTCGGGGAGGCTGGAAGAATGAACCAATCGAGTCCAGTTTGCGTTTTGGCGTCCTTTCTGAAGACACAGTGAAGTGGGTACCTGAACCCTCAAAATTCCAACTGAAAAATGGGTTTGACCCCCAAAATTATGGTTGGTGATATCCCATTTTTATGGGTAGTTTGAGGGTCCAGGTATAATTTTGAATTGGGGCGCTTAGGCGGACATCATTTTAGACGGAGTTTATGTCCACAAACCACGTGTGAAAGGAAGTTGTTCCCCCCCCCCCTGCAGCCCAAAAACTAGATGAGCATGCTTTTGGGGCACCCCCATTTTCAGGCTCCTAAAACACATTAGAACAAAAAAGTGGACAACCTTAAAACACGCACCCACACACACACAAATACACACACTAAGCCCTTTACAGCTTTTCGGACTCCATGTTTGTTTGGGCTATTTCATCGCCCAGGTGCCTTTTTCCAGCAACTCGTCCATTTCGCCGCGCAGCATGGCGCACAGGGTGTCGGGCAGGGCATTGTCTACAATTACGAAGCCGTCCTGGCCCAAGATGTTCACAGGAAGAAGCCCCCTGTAAAGCACCGAACACCCAGGCGGAACTAGCAAAAGCCTATCCATAGTTAGCCCTGAAGGAAACATACCCGTCAAAAGCCCTGCGCAGCGAAGCCCGCGCCTGCTGCAACTTCACCAAGACTTCCTCCGACAGCTTCGGGCCCAACGACCCCAGCACCGACGACTCTGGCGAATCTGCGGGAGGCGCCAAAGTGCGAGGGGCCGCGGGGCTGAGCACCGGCAAGATGCCAGGGTCCAGCCAAAATGCGGCATCCTCGTCCTGTGGGCTTGCTTGAAAACGGCATAAGCCCAACCTTCTGCAGTTCTACTCCGGCTTTTGGAAATATTGAAAAATCAAGAGCTATGGCTGATACTGAACCAGTACACCGTTTGATTGGCAATTGACTTTCTTTGAACAGAACAAACAAACTAGTGAGAGCAAACGGCCCTGGTCTTCGGAATGGTGCAAGAGGCACCTGTCTCTATTGACCCCATGTTTAATTTAAGGGATCAATCCCCAAATGGAAGGAGTCGGAAGGGGTCATGGCCGTGGTGGAAACTTCAGGCACCCAGTTCACCAATTCGGTCGGCCTCTGCCCACGCGCCCACCTGTCGAAGACTCTCCGCCTTCAGCCAGGCCTGGCGGTGGAAACCGCAGCCCGGGAAGGCTTGTCTTTTTCCAAGAGGTTCTGGGTTTCCTGTTGGTTTTCATCAAAAACCACTTTTCTAGGGGACCCAAGAGGTTCTGGGTTTCCTGTTGGTTTCCATTACAAACCACACAACAAGTTTTTCTAGGGGACCCAAGAGGTTCTGGGTTTCCTGTTGGTTTTCATCAAAAACCACTTTTCTAGGGGACACAAGAGGTTCTGGGTTCCCTTTTGGTTTCCATTACAAACCACACAACAAGTTTTTCTAGGGGACCCAAGAGGTTCTGGGTTTCCTGTTGGTTTTCATCAAAAACCACTTTTCTAGGGGACACAAGAGGTTCTGGGTTCCCTTTTGGTTTCCATTACAAACCACACAACAAGTTTTTCTAGGGGACCCAAGAGGTTCTGGGTTTCCTGTTGGTTTTCATCAAAAACCACTTTTCTAGGGGACACAAGAGGTTCTGGGTTCCCTTTTGGTTTCCATTACAAACCACACAACAAGTTTTTCTAGGGGACCCAAGAGGTTCTGGGTTTCCTGTTGGTTTTCATCAAAAACCACTTTTCTAGGGGACACAAGAGGTTCTGGGTTCCCTTTTGGTTTCCATTACAAACCACACAACAAGTTTTTCTAGGGGACCCAAGAGGTTCTGGGTTTCCTGTTGGTTTTCATCAAAAACCACTTTTCTAGGGGACACAAGAGGTTCTGGGTTCCCTTTTGGTTTCCATTACAAACCACACAACAAGTTTTTCTAGGGGGCCCAAGAGGTTCTGGGTTTCCTGTTGGTTTTCATCAAAAACCACTTTTCTAGGGGACCCAAGAGTTCTGGGTTCCCTTTTGGTTTCCATTACAAACCACACAACAAGTTTTTCTAGGGGACCCAAGAGGTTCTGGGTTTCCTGTTGGTTTTCATCAAAAACCACTTTTCTAGGGGACACAAGAGGTTCTGGGTTCCCTTTTGGTTTCCATTACAAACCACACAACAAGTTTTTCTAGGGGACCCAAGAGGTTCTGGGTTTCCTGTTGGTTTTCATCAAAAACCACTTTTCTAGGGGACCCAAGAGGTTCTGGGTTCCCTTTTGGTTTCCATTACAAACCACACCTCGAGGTACAGCAATTTGCATAGCCTCCGCTTCCCTCTGGCGCCCTGGGGGCTTTCGCTCCGGTTCCAAACCCCCAACCCAGCGACTGCCTCAGTCCGGTGAGTTCAAGAGGTCTACCGGGCGTCCAGGGGTGAGTTTCCAGGTGAAGGGAGGCCTACCTTCCCATTCTATCCAGAAATGGAAACATGGGCCAGTCTCTCCCTTCCATGTATTGCACGGGATGGGGGTCAGACACAGCTGCATGTGGAACGCGGCCCCCTCGTTTTCCCGCTTCACATTGGGACAAGTCACTGAAACCGCAAGAAAGCGTAAATCTCCGAAAGCGGACGACCAATGCTTGACTTTGTCCGTTGCCCACTTGTGTTCCAACCCATGTTCCAACCCCAATACACCACGCATAAGTCACGTTCTTTTCTCTGGCTGGGGTTTGCCTTCGTACGTGTCTGGTGTGCCCCCCCTACATCCCCTTGAAAATCAAAGTCAGCCCGAACTTGTGGATCTGTCCGGGGGTATGGCCTGTGGCGCGTATGATGAGTGGTCTCTGTGATCCTGCGTGCTGGGTCACAAAAGTGAAGAACATCGGCATTGCATTGGTGCCTATGCCATAGCTCGGTTGCTTTCTGCTCCCCTGCTAAAAGTTTAACTTTTAGTGTTTAATGGAAAACCCATTAGTTGGCAAAAAGCTAAAGTCCTAACATCCAAGCAAAATGCACCAAAGATAGTGCTGCCGCTAGCTGAATCTGTCTACAACTAACCGCGCTCCGAAGGCTGTGAGGGACAAAGTGGTTGAAGACCAGACTGCTCCGCTTGCCATCCTTGACTTCCAACACGTCACCTTCACGTGTACCTCCGTTTCTAATGTCACTTTGTCGCTTTCTGAATCGTGCTTCTCCAACGGACATGGCCACCAGGTGCAAAATATAGATACTCCAAGTCTAAAGCTGCGCCTTTCCAAAAAGGGCTGCGATCTCCAATGTCCAACATGTGGAGTGGCTTCGGAAATGGCCTATGGTTCCATCCCCCAACAAACAAAACATGGCGGTGTCCCTTTGGTTACCATTGGGACCATGCACAACAGCGTAGTTGTCAGAGTTCATTGACGGGGGGCGGCATAATGTTTTCCCTTTGACCTTGGGTTGCCAAACTGTGTACCTCAAGAAGGCACACCCATACTGTGGATGGACGAAATCCAGTTCCCAACCCTGGATTCATGATTCCCCTGTAAATACCAGGTTCCTTAGGTGGTGCGAAACAGATTTCGCAACCATCTACGGCATGAGCAAGAAACCACAACCCATTGACAGCTGGCCCTGCCATCATGGAAGAGGCCGGCACTAGCCTCACCGATGCCTGAGCCCAATGAAAGACCAGAAAAGGGCGAGTTGCAATCCAACTCACCGAAGATTTCTTGAAAAACAACACACTTCTCGAGCTTTGGTTTAATCATTTTGTCCAATCAAAAAAGGCCAACCAAAAAGAAAACACAAAACTAATGGTTTTTCCTCAGCCGACAAATGCATCCTCAATCTGTCCCCTCGCGTGCTTAGGATTGATTCCCACCTACCAAGTTCCCCCTCCCTCGAGCCTCTGAAGCCACTCTCCGGAGCCTCAACTCCTCGCCGGCTCATTGGCCAAAAAAAAGAAAGCCTCATTCCTCAGCGCTCCCAAAGGCGTCCCAAAAGAAAACACGGTACCCCCAGATGCCAGGACCAACAAGTGATTGTCCCACTGAGTCAGTCCGCTTGAATTTGGCAAACCAACGGATTTGCTGGCTTAGGTCGGTAAAGCAAGAGGCATGCATGAGTTTGCAAGAAACCTAGGAACCAACCAGGCTTCAAATCGTGAAAGCACACAAAGCTACAATCATTTTCGACAAAGACTGTGCTTGTAACCAATCGATTTCCAACAAGTTGACACACAAAAAGGCCCCAAGTTCCAAGCCAACAGATCGAATTCCCGGCCCCGGTCCCCGGTCCTGGTCCCGCACCTGGCACCAGCCCGTGGCAGCAGGCCTTACAGAGATCAGCCCCACGGGGCGGAAGAGATCCGCGGCGGAGTCCTGCGGCGCGGACTTGGCCCAATCCGTGGCCAACCTGACGCGACGAAGGCGCTCGAAGGCGCTAGGGGCGTGCCAGATTTGTTTGAGGCTCGGTAAAAAAGAACATGTTAGGGGGGCTTTAAAGGTGAGCGAGAACGAAGATCACAATTTTAGGGGGTCCAAACTTTTGGCACATACCCAAATGAAAGATGGCATTGTGTCCCCTGCAGATCGACTGCGTGGCAATAGTAAGCCCCATGATTCGTATGATCCTGATCTATGCCCTGCATGTACACGCGCAATATTATCTCACCCCGAGAAAGCTCAACAAGCAACATGTCAACAATAGCCTACAAAAGATTGGTCTTCAAATGGGGCGGGTCCCAAACTTGCTTTTATTTGGTCCGGATTCCCTTGCTTATGGAATTGTGTTTACACTTGCCAGGCCATACAATTGACCAGTCCTTTTGCCGAAGTAGGTCCTTTCTCAAAGGCTGAATGTATATGTCCTTTTTTCACTAACTCCTGGTATGAAGCCCTAGCTCATGTGTTTTTTGTCCGTAGTTGTGGCTTAACTGTGGACAATCAGCCCCCCGAGGTCGAAAATGGCTCTGGGTGCATGTATGCTCTGATTTTCTTAGTGTTGACCAGGATTAACAAGCCTGTCCCATTATTAGGGGGGATTCCCTCCAAAAGTGATGAATCCCCACTACAAGGGAATACCCCCCTATTAATCAATCAGGGGTTTACTAATCCGCGTTAACATTACCGTAAACATCTTCATACCCAAACCGACACGGTCAAGCAAGTTGCTCGGTGTGGTGCGGCCGAGCAGCACCAGCCAGTAGGTGTCTGACATCACGGGCTTCAAGTGATCAGGCCATCGCGCTGCGAAGGGGGCAGGTTGTGGGGCCTGATGAAACCCTATGCTGAAAGTAATGATGCAAACACTATGTGTTTGACTCTTCAGCACTGATTAGAAATGTGATTCATCTAATGTTTTAGCGTCCTCTACCTAGTGAAAAAGTGTGTTTCTCACAGCTGATGGAAGTAGCTAGCTTCATTGAACCTACACATTCGTCGGCTCCTTTTGGTCTTCCAGACCGATTTTAAGCTGGGTTGGTCAAAGGGAATGGGCGAAAACAAGTTCCACCCCTGAGTTTGTGCTTTCATGATTCCCTTGGCCAAGCAAGCTTGACTCAGTGTGACGCAGTTTAGTTTGTGGGGAAAGTGTCGTAGCTCAACATGTCAAAAGACTAGACAAGGTAGCTGGAGCTATGCCATTCTGATCTCAAAAGAGCTAGCATCACTCAAAAGCATCTTGTCCAATTGGCCGGGCATTCTTGCCCAAGCAAGACATAGCAAGACACCTCAGCTCAAGGGGTCCCGCGGGCTCAAACCATGTACCTTCCTTTGCCCAGTCGAGTTGCAATGGGAAAATCAAGTCAGCTTGGCCGGTTTGTTGAACTCCAAAGTAAGAACAGGTGCCCTCGACCGGGGCATCTTGAGCGTCGCCTTTCTACAAGTGATGGTCCTCGCGGTTCGCCGTCTGATTTGGTCAGCGAGGTCAAAGCGATTTCTTTCACGTCTCCTGGCCGCAAGGCTCCAAGGGCGAGCAACTCTTTACACCGAGTGTGAGACAACCAAGGCGACGTGCCAACATGAGCAGATTGATGTTTGGCTGAACGAAATTAGTTCTGCAAGCTTCTAAGCACCTCACATCATCACCTCACTGTAAACCAGTCAAACCTAGTAGTAGAACTCAACACATGGCCTGTTCTGCCTCAGTGCTGGCAAGCCCTCCTGCTGCAGCCACTTGTCCACGTCCAACGGGGAGGTGCCAATGGCACTCATCCTGGGCGTCTTGAGAAATTATCTCAGGATTCAACTGCACCCCACCAACCCTGTCCTCCTCGTTTTGCCAAAGTACGGCCCCAACAATGATTAGTTTGAGGCCTTGGTTGCGGGATTTGCCCCCCTCCAGAAAGCCGTCCTGCTCGTGTTTTATGCTCACACGCACACACACTTTCTTTGGTTGCAACCAGCGCATGGGCAAGAACGGCATGCTTGGCTGTGTTGGGTTCATCTTTAAGTGGATTGGCCAAAACAAAAACTGTTTTCAACTTACCACTAACATGGTCTTCCCAAACAGGTTCACGTCCAGGAACTTGGGGAGTGAGTCAGTGGGTAGGGTAACTGAAAGGACTGGGGGTGCCACTGAGCAACTCAGCGCACAAATGCACAAGCACGCAAGCAAGCAAGCAACCAGACAAGAAAAGAGACAAACGGGCAACAAACAAGCAGGGCACGCAATGTGGGATGTGGATATATCTTCAACTCACATTCTGAGCAGATTGAGTCGGAACATTCTTGCCACTCATATAACCCCGCTATATATCAAGTCCAGTCATTTTGGGATGTAATCATCAGTCATCGTCCAAGCTTCAACTCAAACACTCCATTGCCATGGGGGGAATGTGTTTTTTTTTCTCTCTCTCTCTCTCTCTCACTCTTTCTCCCTCCCCAGCGCGCAGGTCTCGCTCGTCCCAGGTCAGCAATGCGAAAACAGCCATACCACCACAGGCAGCTCATTCCAAGCCAACCCAATGCCGCATGTGGGGAGGATTTGCTGGCCAACTGATGGGTTCCCTTGGACTTCTCCTTGATACCCCCACAAAGCTTCCCCTCCCACAAGCGAAGCGCGCCCACTGCGGACCGCGCCGGCGTACGGCTGCCAGCAGGTCAGGGGGCACGGGGCTCAGGACCTCGTGAAACTCCCCGGTGGACGCCTCCGGGCGAATCTGCGCAAAAAGTTGAGTCATCAAAGCCCGGTACAAGAATGGTCGACCCAGAACCAGGCTTCAAGAACTAAGGCGGATGTCCGCCTAAAGAATTCTGGCTGGGATCGTCCCGAACTAACCTTCACTTACCCGGGATTTCAGGGCTCAATTGGGGTTGATCGGTTCATCAAAAGGTCCGGTAAACCTGGGCGACCATTCGGGAAACCCACCGAAAAAGATATGATAGGTCCACCACTAAAGTGGAGAAATTGTCCATCATTTGGGGGCCGAAGGGAATATTGATCAACCCCCAAATCCATAGCTTCCAACTGGGGAATGAACAAACCCTGAAAGTCCGTCACCTGCCTGGCTCAGCATCGTCAAATGGCAGATCGGTGAACAAACAATGGCTTTAAGCTCTACAAGCCACAGCATGATACTGGGCTTAAATGTGCTCCGTTTTCGGGAACTCCTGGTTTACACACCCAAGAGCACATACTGATCCCAGCCAAATCATGCCCCCCGTACGAATCTTCCCTTGCGGCGTCACGTATCAAAGGGACCTGTGGGGCTACTGGAAGGGGCCCCTTTGGGGCTACATACATTTTGCAGGGGTCGGGGAGTTGTGGATACAACATGGCCAGGTCCTTTTGCGCGCGTGGACCATGGAGCCTGAGTTGAGTTTTGCCGGCCCCCATCCAAGAATCGAACACCCAGGCTGTTGAATCTTTAAGGGGGGTTAAAAGGAAAGGGGATTAGCAGGTGGGTTAACAGGGGGCTTGAAGGAACGCCATGCCCCCACTTGCAAGTGTGCAGATGCTTGAGTAAAAAATCCAAGCTATTTCACACAGGAAAGCGGCAAGCCCTAGCTGCTTGTCTCACAGGGGCCTCATTCATTGCAGCATTTTGCAATCCAAAGCCAACAAATTTCCAGAGATCTCTCAATAGCTCAACCCTTCCCAACCCGAGGCTGGTGGCCCAATGAACTTGAACGCGATATGTGTCGTGATTTCGATTGAACTACCTCAGCTTTACAGCACGAATGGCTGGCATCATGGACAATGCTACTTTGAAAGAGATTGATGTCAGGGTTCCCCGTTCAAACCAGCGGGTGACTTCTTTTTGAAACACGCAGCAACTTTAACAAGCTATGAATTCGTTCATTTTCGGGTAGCTGCAACCTTTATAAAGAGGTAGCAATCGGTTCGATATCTGCCCTTACAGCGACAAAGTGGTTTCATGGCCAGGGCCGGACTGGAATGGAATCCCTGGAGACGGGATTGTCAACTTGTTTTCCTTGGGTTGCAACACAACCGCTTTTGAAAGACAAAACGCATACTTAGCCTACATGATATATGTCTCTCATGTTGCTTTAACAAGAGAAAACCCAAACATTTGGCAGCAACATGGGATGTCAAAGCAATGTGTGGCCCGAATTGTTGTGTGGTGTTCCGGTACTTCAATCTGGAAAGGGTACCAAACAGCACACATGGCCATGGGTCAAAATCCCTAACCCCCAGTGAACATCCCAATCCCCACTAAAATCGGCTCTAAAATGGGTGGTGCACCGAAAACCCCAGAATGGGATCCCATTGGCTTTGACCCACAGCCACATGTGCACACACACATGCACACGCCACAGATTCGCCCCCACGATCCGGATCCTGTATGCGCAAGCCATGGCGATGGAGCCAGCTCCGGCGACCTCAGCCGGAGAATGAATTGGCGAGCTGAGGCGGCCCTAGATGGCACAAGTCCCGGTAGCTGTGGGTAAAGGGGATGAACACCATGGGAACTCATGACCAACCAAACGTGTAAGTAAAGGAACCGGTCTTTTGACCATGGCACTGTGGGAACTGGCTCGGGAACTGGCGCTCGAACGAATTTAGAACAGGGATCACCCCGCAGAGTCTGCAACTTGACAAAACTGTAGAGGGCAATCACCGAAAACCCTTCAACCCTCCAGCCAAGGGTTTTGATCTTCGGAAGCAACTCTCTCTTGGGTTTGAGGGCAGGACTGCTCGAATCTGGGATCCGTGCCAGGTCCAGCGTAGTGTTAAAGAAAGAATGGGTAACGCCCCCCAAAAAAAGAAGAGAAAGCGGAGCCTCCACAAATCGCCATGTGCAGTGGGATGCTGAACCACTGAGAAAGGAGATGGTAACCATGGTGATGGCTGCAAACCAATATACTTCATGAGTGTGGATTGACATGCAAGTACGCATATTCACTGTTTTGTTGTCCCCTTGTCAACTTGGATTACTTCTTGGAGGCAAAAGAGCCAAAAGGACCATTGCTCCTTCCGGGGGGGTTCCCATGTCCAAAACTTTTCCAAACGCTTCCGACTGCAGTTGAAAATGGCATCAAGCTGTCGCGTCATTGGGCAACCCTGAATGGTTTCAGAGGGCAACTGGTGTGACACCAACTATTGGTAGATTATTCTATCATCTTATGTCCCCAAATTCAGCGGAAATGACAAGTTCTCCTTTGGATTGCCGAAGCGTGATTGGCTTACGATGGTTCGGGTCAAAGGATCGGACTGGCGTGATGTTTCTTACTCTTGCACCCTTTGGTTGACAACAGGCCCAAAAACACAGCCAAACGGATAGCGGAGCGAGACCAGTGCGCCCCGCAACCAAGTGTTCATAATGTCGATTCAGCGGACCCTTGGAATTCGCGACCCTAGCAATTTGAGAAATTGGCAAGAAGTTCGATGGCACCCTTCCCATGGAAAACAACATAGAAGACAACAATACCATCGGACCTCAAAAAGGCATGCTGTTGGATGAACAACCTTTCTGCTGGAGCTACTTCGGAGCCTTTTTGAGCATTCCCATGCCATGATACTCGCACTCGGGTGAAGGGTCCATTCAAGTCTGCTCCTGTGCCTTGCCGTTTGGAATGGTCCCCTTTTCAAAAACAAGTGTGCCAAGCTTGAACCCAAAAATCGAATAAACTACAACTTCCTGTGCTAAAAGAGGTGCCAAGCTTGAACTATTTCGTCCATATAAACCACATAAACTACCATAAGTCACACAACAAACGCCTATAATTCATACACACGCACACATGATATGAGGAACTTTGAAGGAACTTCCAAGTAAGGAACTTTCCTCATGAGGCCCGAGGTTGCACAAAGCCCTTTTCGGAGGGATCTGGCAAGATCTTGGGTGTTACATGGGGGTCTCTAGAAAATAGAAACAAAACGCTCCCCATGTGGGTTTCCGTTTGGAAAAACAAAAAACATTAAAAGACAAAGGTCTTTTTGGCACTCAGATACATGCCTCCAAGCTGCACAAGGCCAAGTCCTTTATGTAGACAGGCGTGGATGCATAGAGGCCATCAGTAACCTGGCATGGTGCTGCTGCGTATGACGTGTCTTGGAGCCCCAGAAAATCGCGGGTCTCCCTTTTGCTCCCCTGCAAGAACCATCCAAAAAAGAGCAGAACAGTTAGAACGCTGAACTAAGGATCAGACTTTGGTTAAGACTGGTGCGGGCTCTAGGGTTGTACTAAACCACCATTGGCAAAGCACCGACTTTGGGGCCTGCCCCGTACGGACAAACACACAGGGTACAAAATGGGTCGATCGAACATCGAAGAGCAAAAATGCGCCACACGTCCTTCAATCTCACAGCCCAGTCCAAATCCTGGCGGGTCATTTTGATGGGGCCAAGGTACAAACTACTAAAATCTACCTGGATCCCAAGCTGGCAAGCTCGAAAACCGGCCAGGGGGCCTGATTTTTTGCTCATTCCCTTAACAGATCCCCAAAAGGGGTCCTGCAACACAACAAAGATCTTGCATGATTGCCTTCAGACCCATGTTTCAAGATAACTCCGCACATACGCTCATTTCATGCCTAATTTCACGCAAAGCCAAACATTGCAAAAGCTGACGGTACGCTAACCAAGCCGCAAACAAACAAGAAGGGCCAAGCATTTCCGGGGTCCAAGTGCTGCCTGCCTTGGGTTTTATCCAAGGGCGACGGATGGGCTACGGACAGGGGCGCGGGGCTTCAGTGCCAGGTCTTTTCACAGGACATGGCGCAATGGTCAGGGGACCACAGATTCCAATTCAGCACCTCTAGAAGGCCTAGCAGTTCTGTTGAGGGTAGCACTCGTTTCAGTGTCCCACCCCTTGAACGCGCCCTGTCATATGTGGACCGTCACATTGTAAGTTGGCCCCAGCCATACTTACAAACAACTAACCCCAGGTAACCTACAAATTCAAATTGATAATCACAACTTCAAATAAGGCGCGCCACAACTAGACACATTCTAGCTCTATGAACATGACTTGATTTGGCTTTAAAGTATCATGTTCAGGCCCTGATAGTAGGTTGTAGCCAGGATCTAGGTCAACCAACCCGTGTTGTTCCAATTCTAGCCCTGGTTACAAGCCCTGTTCCAGTTGTCTCTCTTTCTCCCTCTCTCTCTCTCTCTCGGCGCCATTTCCTGGTCCAGCAGTTAGGCCCTTGTATTGCCCATGCTCACGCCTCTCGCGCCCCCCCCACCCTGCCACTTGTGCCATGTGGCCACGGCATGCCCGGCAAAGCTCAGGTGGCTGCGGATCTGGTGGCGCCTGCCCGTAGTGATCCGCAGCCGAAGCCTCCGAGATCCAACGAGATCGGGGCGAGTGGTTGGCACAGCATGGCGCCAACGCGCAGCTGAGAAGAGGTTTGCGCGAATCGGGTGTCGAATGTGGACTTTCCCCCAAAGGACTGCCATCCGCCGACCACCACCGAATCTCCCTGTGCCTGATCCTTTTGTAGGATGCAGACTCCCTGAGACATCCTCCACCTGTTTGGATCGAACACATGCGCCGAAAAAGCCTGGGAGTCAGAGTTTTGGAACCAATGGCTCACTTGCCTAACCGGCTTGGGCCAGGCAAAACCCTGGGGGCAACGCACATGGCTCACTGGCCGGGTGGTTTCTTTCCCATGGGGACCACGGCTCTTGACATGCTTGCAAGGGGAAATCCAGCGAAACAATGGATGTGCATGGCAACTGGAATGGGCCTGAACAAGATGCTCATAGCAAAGTAAAAGTGATCACCACTTTTTGACTGGATGGCTGAAGGACAATCGCAACCTCAACGTGTGTATTTCAGGAATCCTTACATTATACACCTGAACATTGCAACTTGTAAATAATATTCCCCTGTATTTTGGTGTTGAAAAAACCCACATGTTTCAATTGGTTGCAAAATGAATTTATTTTAAGGAGCCCTGCATTTCCATGCGCCATGCGCCACCACCTCAAGGGGCTGGCTTCACAAGCTCAACCCATGTCACAGAAGGGTCAACCACCACCCCGCCTGATTTGCATGCAATAACATAAAGTAAACCGTACCTTGGTGAAGTCACTTTATACAAAGACATGAAAAAAAAAAACGGAGCCCATATGTTAACCCAGGACAAACCAACCTAGATCAAGCAAATATTCCAGCATACCGCAGCATACCCTCTAAAATGGGAGCACCCTCCATATTAACCAACCAGCGGTGCATTCATCATGACATTTCTTCTCACACATGACTACCTGACAAATATAGTATGGACAATGGTTTGGGGATTTCTGGAACTCGTTGCCGGGCTGGTTCACAGTTCCCTGTCCATTCTCTTCAGGGATCCTTCTCGGCCGTGGATTTGCCACAACAAGTCTGAACATGTTTGCCACAAGTGGCATTTCCCAAAGCAATCCCAACTGAGTGAGTGAAGCTCAGCCTGAGTCGGACGCTCAGCCGAGGCTCAGCCATGGATAAAAAAGGAATCCATTCCCCAAAAGTGGGAACACTGGCTGAAATTTACTGGGCGACCCCCAGTGAACGGGACCCAATCCAACCACTAAAATAGACCAAATCCCCACTAAAATAGACCAAAATGGGTGGTGCCTACCCCAAAGGTGAACCCTTTCCACACCCCGCCCCCACGCCGAAGAAAAGGAACAACAAAAAACAACAATCCGCCGGGCAGCAGGCTGAAGGCGCCAGCGGCTTCGTGCCAAAGGCGCGTGGCCCGGGTGACCTCGGAGGAAATCACGAGCTTTGAACTCCGCCCAAACGCAAAGTGAGCGCTCAATAACAAAATATGCTTTGCTTCAAGGTTTCACCAAACTTCAAAGATCGAAGTCCAAACATTGGGCTCCAAACTGCTGGTTCTACTTTTGTCTCCCCAAAATCAGGTCAAAGGCAGCAGAGTCAGGTGGCTCAGCCCCATACCTATCTACTTTTGGTTACGCCGTGTTTACACCCGCCCGCGAATAAATCACCCCCCCCCCTCGGTGGTTTCTCTGTGAAAGGTGCAGCCTGTGTCAAGCCCTTGCAGCAGTGCATGTATGTATATATCAAAACTGGAAAAAGCATGTCGCCTTGGGGCAGTCGCGATGCCGCAATTGGTGGTGCCCTTGCTAGGAATGTCCCGAAACTTGCGTTGACCCTTGAAATTTGCTGTAGAATGGGTCTTCGATGCTGGCACTTGTGTGCAAAACTTCTGTGTGCTGTCCGATGGTACACATGCAACAAGAAAAATGCCCCGCTGCGGCCCCCGTGGCAAGAAGGCCAAAATCTAAAGGTCCCTTGCCAGCCCATTGGCCAAAGACGATGTGTCCAAGGAAAGGCGCACGAGATCGGACCCATTCACACGAAACAACATGCATTGACGCCATTGGCATACATCGCCTGGACAAATGTAGGGCAAATGCTGTGGAAACTAGGCTCGTTTGGGAATGGTGTTGGTGTCAGAGCATTGCAGTTGGGCCAACCACCTGTTCAAACATGTGTGAACCGTTCTTCAAACTTCCTCATTTTTGTTCAGGGGGCGCACCAAACCCAATTCAACAACAAACCTCTAGAGGGCGTCCATCGTCTGGTTATTGAAAACAAATGGTTCAACCAACCCGATCAACACAAGCAGGTGTTCACTGAGGCTAGGGCGTCGCTTCTGCTGGGCTTCCTGAAATAGATTCGGGGGGGGGGGGGGGGGGGCAAAACTAAGTAATGTCTTGTTCTATGAACATTCTTCTAGTGATAAGGCTTATATGTCCCGAAATCGAAAAACTCGTATGAACCAGTGGTCGAACCCCTACTGAAGTGGCCAAATCAAACCAAACTGACGTAATGCGCTGCCAGTCGCTGGCATCGCTAGTTATGGGGTGATTGCGTGCGCATTTACAGCACGCAAACAAACCCGAGGACAGCTGCAGGGGGGTTTTCATGCTCACAACATTTCGTGAATCAAATGTACCACTCTGCCTCAGGGAGCAGTACGCCAATCATCCTTATTAAGAAGGTGCGCTGCGCTTCGCAAACAGGCCTGGGGGGGGCGGGTGAGGGACACTTCGAGCACTTTCTCACTGATTGCAGTAGCAACTAAACAAGGTCTTAGCTTGTTCTGTTCAACAACCGGCATGAACTCAAAGATTGATGTCTTGTACTGGACACTGGACAATTGATCTGTTTCACCTTGCCATGTTCCTGCCGGGGCCACGTAGCAATTCAAATGGCAAGCGATCACCGTAAAGCGCCAGTGGAGAACAAACGGGAAGCCCGCGTCTTCCTCAAAAAACATACTACATTTCTGTTTGACATGTTCAAGCTGAGACGTGTATCCACTTTGGCGACAGCCTGTGGAAGAGAATCGCCTTTCTTGCTGGAACCGAAACCCAAGGAGTTCCTTACCAGCGCAACAGGGAGCGATACAGATCGTGAGCGTGCCGGGTGTTCTTCTTCTGGTTTGCCCTTCAAAACAAACTAAAAGGGGTGCCACAAACAGAGCCGAATCAAGGCAGCAAACAAAGCAACATGTGCTGCTTGGCCCACCCAGCAAGAAGATCGGATGGGCTCATGCAGTCCGAGGCTCCCTTGTGCGCCGCTGATTGTGGGGCCATTGCCCACCCAGAACACGCTGGCCTGTCGGCATGAAACTTGGCCGAGTCCGGTACAAACAAGGTATCCAATTTCGGTCTGAGCCCCAGCAAAGGCAAACTTTGCAGCACATCCGGACTGTTGAGCCAAAAAGTTCTGCCTAAACTGCCTGAACCTCAAACCCGTCTCGGCGTCCCCTCTCTGGAACGCGAAATGGCACTTTGCCTCTGGCGAGAGGAATGTGGCGGGGGACTCTGCACTCAACATGCTTCTTTCTTGGTGGAAGGGCAGCATGTCCCAATGCACCTCACGGATGTGGGAAACCACGGCCCATCTTACGCACCAAAGTGGGTGATGCTTCACCCTTCTGCCTGGTGAGGGCGTGACTTGACCTTGCACAAGCCTATGACTGCCTTGCCGCTTGAAAGATGAAGGCCGTGGCCAGTCACAAACTCTTTGAAGGCTGGTTTATCTCTTCACCCATGATTATCTTCAGAAGCATGCAGAAACTACGCATTTTCCCATGGGGTCACGTTTGACATCCCTTCAAGCAACGCCTCGTCCAAAAACAGCCGCCTAGTTCCCAGGAGTTTTGTTGGCAGCTTTCTGCGAAGGATTCCTGAGAATGTGGAAGGCACCGCAAGAACCAACAGCACAATCATGGCTTTCTTCCTAACCTGTCGAGGGTGGGGAGTGTTGCTCACCGGATCCCACTTACCAGTATAGGCAACCAGCCATTCTCCGTGAAATCAGAGGCAGGTATATAAAATAACAAACATCACTGGAGCTCTTGGTCTGTCTTAGCTGGTGAAACCACAATTCTAGACTTGTCCCAGAGGGAAAACACCGAGAAACCCCTTCCAACCAAACAGAGCTTTGTCACCAATCTTTAGAAACCTTCCTTTACACAACCTCACCCAAGAAAGTTCTAAACCCCCAGCCAAGCAGGAGGTTTCTAAACGCCCCCCACCTCTCAGCATCAAGCCAGCCGTGCCTGAAGGCTGCGGGGGCCGCGCAGCCAGCCGTGCGCCAGCACGGCGTAGAGACGAGGCATCTCCGCGCTCAGCTGCGCCTGGCTCGAGGCTGAGGGACACGATTTCGGGCGGGAAAAAGTGGGGGCATGACCCATCTAAAGCCTTTTGACCCGTTTGGACCCCATCAGAAAAAGTGGGTCTTCATCCATTTTGACCCCTTTTGAGTCGGTAACTGGAGTCTCAATGACCCTGAAACAATGGGGCCATGACCCCTGTTATCTTGGGGAATGGCCTCATTTTTAAATGGTCATGGAGACTCCAGGTAAGCCTTGAAGCCAATGGATGCAAGGCTGCCCCTCCGGGTGATAGTGTGTGAGTGCTGTAGATCCCGCAGCAAAAAGTTTAACTTTTTGGAGGTTAAATGGGAAATATGATGCGTATCCAAAAAGTTTAAGTCTAAAGATCCAACCCAATAGCAGTAGAGATTCGAGCCACCCATGTCGGTTGAGCGCGCGGCCTGCAGGTCGTAGTAGGCTTCGAAGGTCTTGGCCAAAACCTCGGGCGACTTGGGCTTCAGCGACTTGTCTCTAATCATCAGACACTAGAGTTTCTTAGGTGGTGCGAAATGGATTTCGTCCATCCACAGTTTGGTTCAGTTACCACCATTCAAACAAAGGGGTTCATATAACCACCATGATTTACCTAAGGATTGTCATCATCCAGATAGGGTCCTTGCCATTCTTTTAATGGGGGTTGAACCCTAGGACTCTTGCACCCAAACCCATTCCTTTCCTTGCATTCAGGTCCATACGTAGCCAACCGTATGAAGATCGTGAAGGGGACCGACCCCAGTTTGGGGTTCAACAAACATCGAGCCAGGTCCTTTCAAGTGACATGTATCTTTTTGGTGACATAGACGGTAGCCGCACGCAAGTTGAGCATCACTGTTTTCAGCGTTGCGCTGTGTGAGCTGTAATGTTGTAAAGGCCAAGTTTCAGAATTACAAAGCCGGGGCGCACGAAGCAGCACACGCGGCACATTCCGGAGTCTTGGCAGCTCCCCGTCAATACAACAGTCAACACTCAGTCAACAGTCAGTCAACACTCAGTCAACACTACAGTCAACACTACAGTCAACACTAGCAAAACCCTGGCAGGGCCACTGAACCGGCCCAGTTACTAGTAAAAAATCAAAAAATAGAGAAAAAGGCTTTTTAATTGCCTGATTTGTGGAAATGCTGGCCCTGCCAGGATTTGGGGAGTGTTGACTGTAGTGTTGACTGAGTGTTGACTGAGTGTTGACTGAGTGTTGACTGAGTGTTGACTGCACAGGGCACGCAACGCTTTGTTTTGCGCCGAAGCAACGCGACAAAGCGCCCTCTACACCAGTCGGTGGATGGAAGAAATCTTGCATCTCTTTTGAAGCAGATCCACGCCATCTCGTTACGACTTGCCCCGCGCCCCCTACTTAACATTGGCGCTCAAGCGTTGCGCTGTGTGAGCTGTAATGTTGTAAAGGCCAAGTTTCAGAATTACAAAGCCGGGGCGCACGAAGCAGCACACGCGGCACATTCCGGAGTCTTGGCAGCTCCCCGTCAATACAACAGTCAACACTCAGTCAACAGTCAGTCAACACTCAGTCAACACTACAGTCAACACTACAGTCAACACTAGCAAAACCCTGGCAGGGCCACTGAACCGGCCCAGTTACTAGTAAAAAATCAAAAAATAGAGAAAAAAGCTTTTTAATTGCCTGGTTTGTGGATTTGCTGGCCCTGCCAGGATTTGGGGAGTGTTGACTGTAGTGTTGACTGAGTGTTGACTGAGTGTTGACTGAGTGTTGACTGAGTGTTGACTGAGTGTTGCACGCAACGCTTTGTTTTGCGCCGAAGCAACGCAACAAAGCGCTCTCTACACCAGTCGGTAGGCGCAGGCAAGTTGAGCATCACATCACTGTTTTCAGCGTTGCGCTGTGTGAGCTGTAATGTTGTAAAGGCCAAGTTTCAGAATTACACAGCCGGGGCGCACGAAGCAGCACACGCGGCACATTCCGGAGTCTTGGCAGCTCCCCGTCAATACAACAGTCAACACTCAGTCAACAGTCAGTCAACACTCAGTCAACACTACAGTCAACACTACAGTCAACACTAGCAAAACCCTGGCAGGGCCACTGAACCGGCCCAGTTACTAGTAAAAAATCAAAAATAGAGAAAAAGGCTTTTGAATTGCCTGATTGTGGATTTGCTGGCCCTGCCAGGATTTGGGGAGTGTTGACTGTAGTGTTGACTGAGTGTTGACTGAGTGTTGACTGAGTGTTGACTGCACAGGGCACGCAACGCTTTGTTTTGCGCCGAAGCAACGCAACAAAGCGCCCTCTACACCAGTCGGTGGATGGAAGAAATCTTGCATCTCTTTTGAAGCAGATCCACGCCATCTCGTTACGACTTGCCCCGCGCCCCCTACTTAACATTGGCGCTCAGTTTGGCCAAGTTGGGTTGGGTCATGCAAGATTTAGGCCATTGACAACCTGTGAGCGGTTTTGCTCGTCGCAACTCAATGTTAAGTAGGGGGCGCGGGGTGGCAAACATGTAGTCTTGTAAACTCATGCAAGATTTCTTCCATCAACAGTAGATGGGTTTCCTCGGTAAATGGCTTGCAATAAGACCATTCAAACCCATTTATCTTGAATTCCAAACTCATGGTTCGATAGAAACCCACCAAGACCAATGCCACCAATTTTGATGTCCAAGCTAACTCGTCGATCAACAAGGCAAAACGCGAGGGTTGCACCCCCCAACCCCCAACCCCCTACCCCAAACCCCCCCAACCCCAACCCCCCTGACCCACGTCGACGGCGCATGTGACTTACTTCGGGCACCTCCCTCCCACGTCCGACCGCCGGATCCAGCGGGCGGCCACGAGCCCAGAGCTGGGAACATCCAGGCGGTGCAGAAAGCCCCGCCGCTGGGCCGCGGCCTCGAAGATCGCCCGCGACCCGAAGACCTGCGCGTCGCAAGGCGCCGGCGCAAGGCGCGTCGAGTCGAGTCGAGTGGATTGATTGGCCCGGGACCCAGACATATTTTTCCCAGGTCAGAGTGTCAGAGGTCCACTTTTGGAGCACCACTATGACTTCAACCCAGGGGTGCCGAGTTGCAGGTCAAAAAATTAATGAACCCCGTTGCAGGTTACCCTCAACAAGGGGGCCACTAAAATGGATGACAAGACCTGGGCCATTCGCAAGTACCACTCCCGGCCCCGCAAGGCTTCCGCTTCAGAACCCCCGGCCTGGCGGGCGAGCGTGCAGAGCTGCCTCGACTCCACACATGCCTCGTCATACACGTCCCAGCCTGGCGCTGGGGAATTTTCACCCTGCGCCGATTCTTGTGGGCACATGCCAGCGCCTTGATGAAACCAGGGTCTCCCCCCCTTTTCCCCAGGGTGAGCAGGCAAGCATACAGCAGTATCAGCTTCGTGCCTATGTGTACTTTTGTTCAATCAGAACGCTGGTTGACTAACAAGTGGCGTCCCGTTGTAGAGAGGATCCTTCACTTTTGGGAGGAACCACTCCCCGCGCCCTTGTACTCCGCCATGGGGATAAAATCCGGGATCAAGCTTCCCCTCAGCATGAATCTAAAGATAACATGACAATCACGAGTCCAAGCACTCCATTGCAGTACTTAGTATAGCAAAATCCGCATGAGGTACTCGGACCTCACCGGTTAGTACCTTTCAAACGATGCCCGCCTGCAAAAGTCATTTGCGTCTTTGATGCCATGCCATGCCCATTCTTGTTGTCCTGAAGAACTACATCTGTTCAGGCTGCAGCAAATATCGCAGCATCCCAGCTGATATCCCAGTTGCGCAATGTTATGCAGCAAGTTGAGGCAAGCCGACAAGTAGGGGCCCGACATGTCAACTTGATCAACCAGTGAGAAGCTGAAGGACCGACAGTGAGCTCGTTGGTGTGGGGGGGGAGGTGGAGGGATCCAGAATCTAGAAGTGTGGAGACCTTCTGGGGAGGCGACCGATTCTGGGCTGTAAGTAGAACAAGCAATGAGCCATCTTAACTTAACATCTCTTGCTATTCAGCACCAAGCTTTGGTTGCCACTGCAGTGTCAGAAGCAAACCCAAAATACCCCAAGCTCGTCCCAATGCGCTAATCGGATTTGCGCAGAAAGAGGACCAAACCACACCATGTTGCTGTCCGGAGTCGCATCTTCACTTCTCTCTTGGTTGACGTCTGCCTTCATTTGGGATGCTTTCACTTCTAGCGGAGGCGCAAACCCCTATGAAGATGTAGTCCACTGCAATGGATGGCCCTTTCTGATGCTTGCGACAACCATAGGATGCTAGGCTGCCAAGCGGTTTCCCCGCTCCTTACCCCCAGCACACCACTTGCTCAACTTCAAATGGTCGATCCCCAGAAACGGGTCAAAATCCCGTACCCAGTGAACATCCCACTCCAACCACGAAAATAGGTTCTAAAACGGGTGGTGAATTCACCTACCCACCAAAATGGGATCCCATTGCTTTTCAGCCCCGGCGCGTACCCGTCGCCTGGGGGCTTCATCAGCACCGCGCGGTCCGGGAAGTCCAGCGCCACCAGCGGCGAGTCGAAAGCGAAACCCGCGGCGTGGAGCGAAGTCCTCTGGGAGACTTCGCGGGGTGGTTAGGATCTAAACTTGTTATTTGCCACTAGAATTGTCTTCCATTAAAAGTTAGTAAAGTGCAGGAACTCAAACGCGGTTGCAAATGAAACATGGTGTGGTTCGCTGACCATGTAGCCTCGACCAGCTGTAACTAGCTAAAAGCGTAACAGCTGGCAACAAACGGGTTAAATTTCAATAACACACGCCTCGACGAGAACGGACACAAGGCAACACTTGAGATATGGGTTCTCAACCCCAAACCACAAGGTGAAATGGTGTCGGCCACTTGTCTTACCACAGCGCGCCTTCCAGCAGTTTGGTCAGTAAGTTGCTGCCCTAGGGTGAGTTTAGGGTTCCTGGCATTCGCAAGCAATACGGGGAACCTCCGCTTTCCCATGTCCATGGCAACCGCAAAATTAGTATTCAAGACTTGCTCAGAATGTTGACTTACGACTCAATATACCTGGCTTAAACATACGCATGGGGACCATTCCCCAATAAACCCTGCCCTTTCGGCTGGAGGCACCTTTGGTCTTATGGCCCTATTCGCCATACATGGGGCCATGGGGCCAGGATCAGGTGGATTGAACTTATCATGTTGTCACCCGCTGGGTTGCATGGCATGCGCAAGCAACTCGACTGGACTCCTTTGGTCCATTCTGCGGCCTCCCTCCCGTAGCTTGGCGCGCAGAAGGCCCAGCAAGCGCCTCGTGAGAGAAGATCCCCGTGCAGGTTTTCAACCGATCCGGACCACAGCTGGAAGAATATGGTTGTACAATTGGGTTGGATTGGGCTGGAAAAATATGGCCAACATATGACCAACGCAATTGGGTTGGATTGGGCTGGAAAAATATGGCCAACATATGACCAACGCAATTGGGTTGGGTTGGGTTGGGTTGGTGGGGGGGGAGAACTACAGAACATGTTAAAATCCGGTACGAGGAATTGAATGCTGCACGGTTGCAACAACTCGCATGTTGGATGTTGGGCAAGTGTGTGCAGATTGCTACTGGCTCTTCTTGCGCCATGCCGTCTTTGCCGAATGCAAAATGAAGCGGAGCTCAGCCCGGCGCGGCCTAAGTTAGGTAGGTTGGTTAGCTAGCTGGAGGTGGTTCATGCTTGGTTGAGACAGGCTGTTTGGAGGTGGGTAAAGCTCGTTGGAAGTGGGCCACGGAGTCTCCAGGTAAATGTCTTTGGTTGGAAGCCAGTTAGCCTTGACAAGGCTCAGGATGTGCTTGACGTTTGGCTCTGGCGTGTGCATTCTCTGCAGTTGGCAAAGGCCTACAATGAATGCTTAAAGCTGCGAACAAATAAGGTTTGGGATTGGGTTGGGGTTGGCTGTTCTTTAGTTTCAATCTCAATTTGTATATTGCAATTCAATGTTAGCCTGTTAGACTTGAGTTGACAAATCATACAAAGTGCCTTGAGAAACTACATTGTAGTATAATTTCTTTACTCAGCAGATTCGATGCTGACGGTTTTTGCGCGAGGCAAAGAGGGAACCCCATTTGGACGCGGATCGTAGTGGAACCTCCTGGGACCCTGCTCATGAATATTGTTCCCCAAAAAAATAGGATCTATTACGGCGGGAGGGGGCGGGTAATGACAGGGGTAAGGGGTCTCGTTGACATCTTGCGATCTGGACACACCATTGTCCGGAATATACATGAAAGGTGAAAAGCTTGGCTTCGGGTAAGTAAGAACGTGCACACATAGGTAGGTTTGTTTACTAACGGCTTGGCACCGCCGGCAATGCTGACCAAACACCTTCGTCCGGAGCACCGCCAAACAAGATTGAATCAAGCAGGAATCCCAATTTCTCGAACGCGCGGTGCTTTGGTTCCAGGGATACATACCCCTTCGACAAATGAACCCAAAAAGCATGCTGACGTTCATACCATATCCTCTCCCCAAAAGGGGTATATACCCCTGAAAAACAGTGGGCTGGAAACCAGGGAAGCCAAGGGGTAGGAACTTCCACCCTTAGATTGGTGCTTCGGTGCTTCCAAAACGCGCGAGCCTTGAGACGCATCCCAAGACCTTGGCGGCGAAGACCACGCCCAGCAAACAGTCCGCGGCCTGCAGAGGGCAGGGCAGGCAAGAAAAGGTGCTCAAGAGACAGGGGTCCCTATGTTTCCAACCTAGAGAAACACCACCCAAAGGAAGATTAATTCAAATTTGCCAAAATAGGATACGTGCAAGCAACATCAGGGATACTGCCGAAGATTTAGGCGCGCCAGGGAATCGTGACACTTCCCTTCGCAAGATGTGTTGCTCTTTGCTGCAAGGCAGAGTGGCCTTTCCATGACCCACAGTGGACCGAAAGGGGTAAGCCAAAGAAGCAAAGCCTTGGCTTTGAACACGAAACAGGCCTCACCTGCCCAAAGGACCCAGAAATAAAAGGTTCACCCTTTGGGGCCATGACTAAAACTAGACCAAAGAGGAGAAACCAAAAGGTCAAAAGGTCGGCTTTGGGCAACCAAGAGGCTTTAAAACCCAAATGCCATGGACAACATGAGTGCCTCTGGGCCTTTGGGGAGCCGCTTCCCAAGGCCTTGACAAACGCTTCGGGGGGTGGGAGCACACGGGTTGCTGGGACTCCGACTACCCAAAGGTTGGCCGAAGGTTAGCCAGCTGATGGCAAAGCCAAGGCTCATCCTTGCGACCCAAAAGTAAAAAGGCTCCACAAATTCCAGGGCGGATTGACTGATCTGACCAAACTCTGATCTATGACAGCCTCATATGTCCTTGCTTGTGGTCCATAGTCTCCAGATCCTTTCACGGGCGGATTGTTCCCGGGCTCGTCTCACACATAGCCACATGAAAGAGCTCCGGGACCTGGATCGAATGAGACATGACCATCCGCCAGTTGGATGAAACCCCCGGATTTCCCAAAGATGTTGCATTCTTCAAGCCTACTTGCGCGTATCACTATCTACTTCCCACTGACTTTGGCATCAAGGCGCCTTCATAGATGAATTCGGCTCCAAATCGTTGTGAGATGTCCAAACTTCAACCGACTCCATTTGCGCAAACGAAAACAGCCCCAAGGCGGAGGAAGTTGCGAGACATCGATTTGCCGCGTGTCCTTTTTGAGGGCGCCGATTGGAATTTCAGGTCTTGAAGGAAAACCACCAGAAGGGAAACCACCCGTTCTAAGGGGGGGTCCGCTAGGAAAGGACAATTCCATGTCCAAGGTTGGGAGGGAAAAAGGTCAACCGCCTTTTTCTCCACAAATTGGTCGAAGTACCACTGCTTGGCCTTGGAGGAGCCACTGAGCCACTGTTTTGTTACCACATAAAACGGCTTCAAATGCCGAAAAGACATGACCTGCCGTGGCTGGAACCGCATCTTAACAATTTCCCATACTCCCCAGCTATTTAACCTGGAGCCCAAAACGGGGGTCATTCAAAAGGAGGTTCCCCTAACAAATGATGAAGATAGGGTTCCATCCTAGCCTGCAAATTATTGAAGTCATCCAGCCGGTGGGTTGAAAAGAAAGAGCGCAACTCTGACTTTCTCAACTAGGAGCGCCTCTTCGAACGTGTCAGCATCGAGGTATTGCAAGCCTGGGCGAGTCACAGAACCCAACATCTCCCGTCCCAAAAAGCCATGCCACCTTCCTCCCCACAAAACAGGCTTTTTCAACACCATGGTTTGGGAAGAAAGGGTGGCTTTGCAGAGGGGGGTTCATGGATAAGTTTCGCATGATCTCCACTTGCCATACTAAGAAGTTGCTAAGGCCGTCCATAGAGCACTTGAGAGTTCCCTGGTGGATGCCTGCGAAGGCTGGATGCTCCACTTGCTGCCATGAAAGCTCGATTGGTAGAGGAAGGGTTATGGTCTGCCTTGTAAGGATGTACGTTGACGCCGTTTTGACCACTCAAGCACACCCGTGGGTACCAAGGTTCGCATCGTAGTGTGTTAGACAAATTAACCCAATAGACTATTTAGCACGCGAGTCCAGCCCCTCATTGGCTGACTGCCGCAAGGCTGCACCGGAGGCACTCAATGCAGGTTGCCATGCGGGGAAGCGTGACTCACAGGCAACACGGATGACGCTCTTGTGACCAGACTGGTAGGCGGTAGGGGGCATCTGTGCAAGTCAATCCCGACAGGCCATGCTTGTGCCAACTCAAGAGGGAGATGTGACCCGCTGGTGTTTACCATAAACCAGCTTCCATCTACAGGTGGCACCAAACGTGAACACTTGCCAGTCATTGCCATGTTCATCTACTTCCGCATGCCTTCAAAAGACACCAGCCTTTGAATCCCAACAGCTGGACGCACATGACAATGACCTGAAATGGCTGTGGGTCAAAAGTAGGTGCCCAAAATGGAACCCTTAAATAGAACCAAGGACTAAAACCTGCGGTCCAATTCCTGGTGTTTTAAATTTTGACCCATACCCAAATGCGAACCAAATGCTTGACTGCCTCTTTGCCGAGCATCACTGGAAGCAGTGCTCCTGGATGAGGAGGATCAAATCAGGCGAGTCCCAGGCAGCTGTTGTAGCTGCCTCGAGCGTTAACAGCGAGCGAGCCTGGACCAACGAGGCGCGTTGGAATCAGATGGATGGCTCAAAAAACCGGTACCCAAAATGGAACCCTGGTAAGTGGAAACATGGACCAAAACCTGCGTACCCCCTCCTGTTTAATTTTGAGCCACACCCAGATGCTGAGAAGCTTGAAGACCTTTGGTATTTGAAGGGCTGTTAGCCTGCAAGCGGGCAAAGAAGAGTGCCTGCACTGGGGGTTTACTTTTGGTTTTAGCGTATCTAAGTGTGTGTCTGATCGTTGAGGAAAACCAAAAGCACCTCCACTCATTTAGGGGCTCCCCCACTGAAAGACAAACTCACACCAAGCTAGTCCACGGACCATGGCAAAGCTCTACTGCTGAGGGAAAACACAAGTAGCAGAGTAGCAGGGAAGGAGGCTTCTGAGCCAGAAGCAAAACAAGCGACACAGGCAACAAAAACAGTCAAGAAGCACACTCATAACATCTGGAGACGAGGCCATCCCCCGGAAAGGTAGCAGCCAATTGATGAGTAGGCCGCTCTGGAAAGCAAAGCGGCTGAAAGGTGGTCACGCCTTCTGCGTGAATTTGCAGCAGGCACAAACATTGAAACTGCGTTTGGTATCTCTAGCGCTAGCTTAAACAACGATAACATGAAGGTTGAACTGAAGGGTCGCAACTGTTCACCCCCAGTGCTCTTGCTTTTATCTTTTTCAAGAGGGCCGAGTCACAAAAAATCGACCCCAAACAAAACACCAGCGCCGCGGTCGAACCCTCTGGCCGATCAAAGGGCAAGTCGCCAGCAGCTGCTGTAGCGAAGCATCTGGCAAGCACGTCCTGGCTTCGGAAAGGGAATTTCTTTAAAGGGTCTTTGGCACTATCTACGGCGGCCGTGTTAAAGTAAATGGCACGAGTCCCTCATTTTGGCTAGTCATGACGTCTACTTACCTACCGGGAATTGCACACTGGTGTACCTCGCTGGTTGTGCTTGGCAGTCCGCGCACCAGGAACCACTCACAAGATCTCTTGGTTATCTGGAGTCAGGAGCTGGGATTACATGCCCCAGGGACAACATGGCAAGATGCACTGGCAGATGATGGATGGATCAATCTCGAAATGGGTTAAACAAGCGGCCAGGGTGTAACATTCAGGAACCTAGGCAAAAGCGAGCTGACGAGACCTCCTAATGTCTCGTGCCCTTGAAGTTGCCACTGCTCCTTTTTCTCAGCGGCTTCAACAGCTGTCCCCTTTCCAAGGCTGAAATATTTACCAAAATGATCAATCGCTTGCTCGGCCTGCCATGGAAAACAAAAACACGAGCACCAACAAATGTCACAAGATTTGTGCAAGCACACTGGCAGTGGTAAAACAAAGACAGCCTTCATGTTAAGAGCGTTGCTTCTATGGCTGCTGCAACCACCGGCATCCCAGAAAGTTGAGCCACAGCAACCATGACCCTCGATAGAAAACATCGTCACCTTGGCTCGGGCTTCTGAACTGGGCCATTTAAGCCTTCCCTGTGAACAAAAACCTTCATGGCCTTTTGGCTTTAACTCTGAGCAAGTTGCCGGATTCATGGAATGTCTCCGGTTTTTCCTTGGGCTCAGCAATTTGCCCCAGTTGGAATCAACGTCCGCTCTCCTCAGCATCCGGTCCAAGCGTGGCAACGGCCCACGGACGCCCAGTGCACACAAAGAGCTGCACGTGAGAAGGATCTCCTCACGGAAGGGCGGGGAAGGATTTCTGGGGAAATACAGGGGGGAAAGGATCCCACTTCGATTCATCCAGTCGACGGGGAAATACACCTGAATCTTCTGATGAGCGTTATTTCCCGCTCGTGCAGATTACCGCGCGTTTATCTGGAAAGCGCTCGTTCCAAGAAAAAGCGCTCGCATGCGCATATCGAAAAAGAAAAAACCGTCCATCGTGTGGGCTCAGTCTTTCTGCTACTCATGTGCAAGATTTGCAGCGGGCGCCGGACGTGGCAAAACTAGCACTTTTTGATGTGCGCTCGTGTGGCGGGAAATTGCGCTTTTGTAGCGGGAATGCGCGCTCGTTGTGCGGCCTTGCCCGTTTCATCTTGGAAAGCTGCTGCTCTGTTCAAAACATTGACCACGGTGCGCAAAGTGTGCTCCAAAGGAGCCTCAATTCCTTTGCGAAGTAGCCTTCCAGTTGCCTGATTTAACGCTCGAAGACTAAATAGCGCTCGTTTGCTAAAAAATCGCTCGCAAGCACCAAAAGCGTATCAACTAGCAGCTTGAGCAGAAAATAACGCTCGTTGGAAGATACAGGCATGCAGTTTTCGGGGATCCCCCGGCCCCAAACAAGTGCAGAGCTGGGGCTGCAGCTCACAGAAGTGCCACCTCAGCTTCTTACAACGCGTCAGCCCAGTGCAAATGTCAGAAATATCCAACGTCTCTTTCTTCCCTTTCTTGGCTTCCCAACTGGCAGTTCCCCCCAATAGAAGCACGAAAAAGGCATCCCCTTCCTCCCACTAACACGGCACCAGTGGGACGTAATCTGGAAGTTCAGTTTCCTCTTAGAGGGGCCAATTCCCATGGCAACGTGGGTGTTTGGGAATGGGTCAAACTCAAACCACCGGACAACCGGATACGAAGATGCCGTGCTGGCGGACCAAAGACCCCACGGACCGTGCACTCCTCCACCGGTCGCCCGAAAAGCTCACCAGCCGCTGCTGCCAGGGCCTCTTGAATCAGCCGCGGGTCCTGAGAACAAGTCGGGAAGTCTCTGGGCTTAAGAAGAAAAGGAACAACGGTAGGGATAGGCTATTTGGAGGTGTGTCCTTCGTTCAGGGTTCCATGTTCCTTTTCTGGTGGGAAAAGGCCGAAAAATGAGTGAGACACCCCAGAGGGCTGGATCGCACTCCGGAGGGCTGGATCCTCAACCTCTAGACTTGGGCAGGGCAACAGCCACGTGCCCCTGAAAAGCAGCGGCTGGGGATAATATGGACATCATTTACAAGCTAGCTTCCTTCCATTCTTGCTTTTAACTACCTTTTTACCAAGCAGGCAGCCAAGTGCCCTCAGGAAAAAAGCACATACCCCTACGTGCCCCAAATACTCTTATTGGGGGGCCTCGAGGCAACTGCCTTGGGTGTCTTCTTGAAACATCCCCCAACGGAAATGCACTTACAAATTCGAAAGAAGGTAATGCTTAAGCTGGGCAAAAGCACATGTTTCCGAGCAAAAGATGCGTGCCACGGCCGAACCGCCGGCCGGCATCGCGGGCAATGCCGCAAGCCATGACTACGCGCCTAGGCCCATCAGGGGCCACCAATTGGAATCAAGAATACAGTGCCCACTTCTTCACGGCTCAAATGAACTTTTTTGGTCTGGAACAAGTGAACATTCTCGGTTGCGTTCTGCTCCCCTGCTAAAAGTTTAACTTTTAGTGGTTTAGTGGAAAACCCATTCGTCGGCCAAAAGTTAAAGTCCTAACATCCCTTGGCAAAATGCGCCAAAGCATTTGTGTGATTTCAAACTGACTTCGCTTGAAGGAACCGCCAGGACTCCTGCAAACCAAGGCTGGATGAACACAAAGGCAAGGCACAAAGCCAAAGGGGTCAACCAGCGGCTATGGTGCCTACGGCGTCCGAGGGGCTGAGCAGTGCACTTGGGCCAGGCACCAAAGTCGCTCCACCTGGGACCGACGTTGCGTCGATGTCGCACCCTAGGTGCAAGGTTGCAGGAAACAAGCAACCAAGCTACTGGCTCCTGGCCCTCTACCGTTGTGCAGCCTCAAGTGGTTAGATTGTCAGCCCTGAGAACGAGCGAGGGCTTGAAATCGGAATTCCTTCTTTTCTGCTACTAGGAGTTAAACGCGAGGCTCCCCCACCTCGCTGGAAAGATTCTTTCTCTGAGAAGGCTTCTTGGAAGGAGTTGAGAACCTTTCTAGTGGGGGGCTGCCAAGCAAGGGTGTCCGTTTGCTCAAATACATGGCCCTGCTAAATGGATAAAACCAATCTACAAATCTACACCAGTGGAACCCATCTATTTCTAACCAAACTAACCCAACAAGGACACCTCTGGCCCTGCTGTTTCTCAGCGTAGTGGCAGCCGTCTCCGGCGCCAGCACTTGCACCGCCCGGCTTGGGGACAGTGAGGCCATACGCCCAGCGTCGAGGCTCGCTTGGGCAGTGGGCATCTGGCGGTACGTGGTGTGAGTCTACAGCCCTGGGAGTCGAACCACGACTGACCCAGGATTAAACCCGTCCTATTAGGGGGGTGTTCCCTCCAAAAGTGGTCTGAATCCCTACTAAAAGGGGACACCAAACCCTATTATTCAACTCGGGGTTTATTAATCCGGGGTCAACATTATAACCGCCATTGCTTATCCAGCTGCGCTACCACGTGAACAAATCCGACCCATCGCGTAACAAACAACTCAATGACGTAACATCACAACTCATTGCATGCAAACATGAACATGTCTTGCGTCAAGTTATGCTACTTGCGTGTACAAGCACACCGATAATCTGGCTTTCTCGGGGCATCGGGGCAGCGGAAATCGGCGCCTGCTCCTCGCGCATGCGCTGCAGCAAGCTCAAGGCCAGCTCCCAGCAAGCACTGCGCCTTACAAATAAAGATCTCCCAGGTTAACCTGGAATCAAGAGACACGTAGGGTTATGGCTCAAAATGACACACGTAATCTGACACATGTAATCTGACACATGGAATGACACATGGAATTAGGTGTGGCTCAAAATGAAGAAGAGCTAGGGTTTACCCCAGGATTTTTGACCCACAGCCACATGCTTGTAGGAGTCTTCTTTTGGGGACCCCCTGGTTCCATGTTTACCCTTCTAGGTGGTAGCAGTTTTCTTAGTGTCCCACTGGGGAGTGCAGAAAAATATGCTCAAATCCTGTTGCATATTTAGTCTATACATCCGAGAATGAAACACACATTCTGGAGGAGCCCCATTTTGGAGGAACCCCAGGTTTTAGGGGGGGGGGGGGGGGGCAACTCACCAAGCAAAAGACAACGTGTGGAATCCACTGGACCACTCCTTTTCTACGCTGACTGAGCCGTTCTTTCCGGGGATCCTTCTTGCCAGAACACCACCGAAAACCAAGGGATAGTGCTGGTGCTTGAAAAGAACGATGGCTGAACAGAATGGGGAATCAACCCGCAAATACACACGTCCACTCCATCGAACCCGAAAATGATCACCAGGGTCTGCCCAGTTCAGTTGCGAGCCTCGGTGCCAAAACCCACAGACCAAGGTCTTTCACAAGTCAGCTCTTCCCGACCCCTACAAGAAACACAAGTAAACTCGGTTGAGTGCAAGCATCGAAACCATACAAACACCCATGTTCAAAGATCCCTTCTTCCGGGCCCTTCCGAGCTTCATGAATCTCTTGAAAGCACCGAACACCTACCCCACTGGACCCACTCCTGGCAAGTTCAAGTCTGCTTGGCCGCCTCTGTTTGGTTGCATCTGCTATAAACTAAGTGATCCCCAAATTGAAGGTTCAGCCTCCTTTTATAGCCAAATAGATGCGGCCAAGTACACTTGTGTGAAGGTAGATGCCACAATAGCACAATTCCTCTTCATGTGGTCAAGTTAAGGGGGTGACTGAACCAACGTGGAAGGAGATGACCACCCGGTGCAATCAATTCCCCGCCAAGAGTCGCGCACATCCGCACGGAGGCGCTGAGGCTCACAAAGTCTGCACTAAGTCTCTGCTGCGGCAAGTTGCCTTAGCAACCCGACTCTCGAGATGTAGGCTTGTGTTCTTGGAAGGGTACCTTTTCAGTTTGGTTCAAAGGGAAGCCAAAAAGGCTTTGGGGGTGTCCCTATGTTGACACATACCCATGTCGTCCTCAAACATCACCAAAAGTAAACTCATGTGACTCAAGTTCAAATGGCCCAAAGAGTGAATTTTGAATCACCCAAACTGGGAATACAATGACCACTGCTAAAGGTGCCAGCTTGGCTATGAAATGTGGGGATACTTGATCTTCAGGCAACACCTCCGAACCAAGTTGGTACCAACTCAGTTGATCCTAGGTCGTGAATGTAGTTTCAGTGTACCCTGCCCAAAATCCTAGGTGCACAAGGGACACAATTTCCAATAGTTTGATCAAGCGTTATCGAAGCGCAACCTCGTCCTCAGGTTGGGACATACTTTCGCAACCATCCAACCGAGAGGCAAATCCCCCCCGAACTGAAAATTATAGACCCGCCCTTGGTAATGCGTAACCGGCCTCATACCTACCAAGGGAACCAATGGAAACACGCCATCAAGCCCTATCAAAATTACTCAGTTGCCTAAAGCGAATGGACCTTTGACCTTTTGGTTTCGGCACAGTTTAGGGTTTCTGGCTGTAGTCGGGGCAACCCAAACGATGTATGGGGAGGGGTCCTGTTCCCGAAAGTTGCGCAACCAACAAAAATATGGACCCTGTTTCTGATACGCCGAGAATAAGATAATTGCGCGGCATTTGGGGGCTCTAAATTTGACCAACCTAAACCAAGGACCATCTACGACGCTACAATACCTTCACATTCCCATACATACTCGCCCATCTATGCATGTAACTAAAAATTACATACCAGTACATAATTCTTGGAACGATACAAGAAATATAAATTCCAGACATAAAACATGTAGTATAGTATACGTTTTACCTAGAAATTCCAACGTTTGCCTTCGGGGCTTCGTGTTGCCATGGCTGACTGCCACCTCCGAGCGGCCCAAAATCTCGAGGCCCTGCGCCCAGGCCAAGCCTGGCGGCGACTCGGAACCGACACCGCCGGCCAAAGGCTGCAGAAGGAAAACCCGCAGGGGTCACAGGAGCTCCACCTCAAGAGGTGCAATTAACCGGTGGTTTTGTTTGAAACTGCCACTTTTGGATACTTTTTGGTGGTTCAAAAAAAAGAAATGGAAGAAAGCTTGATAAAGGAAAAGCGAAATAAAAAAGGAACAGTGAAACCCAAAAGGAAAAGAACAATCCAAAAGAAGCTTGTGAAACAAAAAGGGCACATTCTCGCACTTTGGGCAGTTTTCAAGACATGTGAGGGGCTGTTCAGATGGGGGAGGCATCCTCGGAATCGCTGCGCGGTATCGGCTCCAGCCGCGGCGCCGGTCAGGAATAGGCATTGCATTAACATGCTCACATACTCAGTGACTCACTTCCTGAGTGGATGGGCCAAACAAAGATCCAACTGTTATCTTGCCACTAAACTGGTCTCCGCCAAAAAAAAGAAGTGAAAGTCCGAAACGGACCTCAGGTTGAACAGTTGTTGAAACGACGTTTTGGCTTCCCTCTCCAGGTGGGGAACCATCTGGTTGAAACCCAATGCAGCCAAGCCCAGCTGGCCCCGGCCTTTTTCGCAGGCGCTGATGGCAGCGTTGAAGGACACGTTCGTTGACCCCAGGCGCTGCCGGACTTGCTCCTGGGGAGTCACTCCCCAAGGGGCGTGGGGCCCAAGTCCAGGCTTGGCCTCCGAAAAAGGAAAACCGAGCTACAAGTGTGATGCCCAAAGATCACTTTCCTGCAAGTGGAGCTTCCCAAATCTGGGCTGTTTTGGAGGGTTGGGCAATACTTCGCCCAAAAAAAACGGTCGCACCTCCAAGAAACAAAGCGCCAGCTGCCAGTTCCCAGCGGCTTCACATGCACTGATGGCGGTGCCAAAGATCACCGCGCTGGGTTGCAGCGCTCGGCCTGAACTGGTTCGGAAAATGAAAAACCAGTCGGATTTTCGGTGGGCATTGTCCCTGCCAAAAGTGATTCAGCGTCCCGGTTCCCAACAACATTGGCATCATCAGCGATTTAGCACGCATGATGTCCTGATCTGGCTTTCTGTTTGTGGATCCCCACAACCTAGAGTGCTGATGGATGTCGGACAAACATTAGTCGCCCGGAAGTAGGCCTCTCACTCACAAACCTGTCGGATTAATGGGGGGGGTCCTTCCAAAAAGTGACTAGATTTCCCGTTTCCTGGAATTGGGGACCCCCATTTTGCTTCAAGGGGGATCAATCTTGGGTCGGCAATGCCTGTTTTACTTGTCTTCCTTTAAACCAACAAATGCGAATTGCTGGGGCACGATGAGTTCTTTGGCCAACAAATGAGTCTTTTCTGCCCTGCGATTGAAAGCTTTGCACTTTGAAAATTATCCTCTGGTGCGCCCCCGAAAAGGTGGACCTTCTGGGGCCTACTTGCTTGTAAACATGTTTTGAACCAACACCCCCCAAACGGCTTTCATCTGCATCGCAGGCGCATGTTGCAGGCTGCCTGGCGCAAACAAATGCCTCATAAGAAGCCACCATCGGTGATCAAGGCAAAAGAAGACACCCTTTGAACTGGTGGTGCCTTCAATCCAAAGCCGGGCGCTGCCCCGAGCAGACCTTCTTCAGGCCTTGCTGGCGTACATCTGCAAACGAGAATCCGTTTCCCAAATATGTGTGTGTGTGTGTGTGCATGCTTGTTTTTGATGGTACGCTTGATGGGTTGCTTTCAAGGGAACCCAACCAGAAATCAACAATCATCAACTTTGTGGGGTTCCCCCCTAAGGTTCCGAAGCCTATTTGGAGACAAACCTATGAACCGTAACATCCAAGAACCACAGATTTACTGCCGAGTATGTGTTTGAGTGTGTCTTAACATGTCCCCTGGAACACCCCAAACATTTGCCTCCATTTGCTTAAGTCCCCTGCAAAAAATACAGATATTTCCAGTAGTGAAATCGATTCCCTTCAAAACCAACAGGGGATAATCAAAAAAACCTTTCACCAAATGGAAGTTATTTTTGCCTGGTGAGTACAAAACAAAGACACCAACAAAAAAGTGGGGAACGGTTGCTTTCTGCTCCCCTGCTAAAGGTTTAACTTTAGTGGCAGTGGTTTAATCCGGAAAACCAATTAGTAAGCAAAAGATAAAGTCCTAACATTCCTTGGCAAAATGCACCAAATAAACATTTACCTGCTCAAATAAACAAACATCCCTTCCACCAAACGGAAGTTATATTTTGTTGCCTGGTGAGTACAAAACAAAGACCCCAAAAATAAAGTGGGGAACGGTTGCTTTCTGCTCCCCTGCTAAAGGTTTAACTTTAGTGGCAGTGGTTTAATTCGGAAAATCCATTAGTAAGCAAAAAGTAAAAGTCCTAACATTCCTTGGCAACATGCACCAAATAAACATTTACCTGCTCAGAAACAAAAATCCCTTTCACCAAACGGAAAGTATTTTTCCTGGTGAGTACAACACAAAGACCCCAAAAAAGTGGGGAACGGTTGCTTTCTGCTCCCCTGCTAAAGGTTTAACTTTAGTGGCAGTGGTTTAATTCGGAAAACCCATTAGTAAGCAAAAGTTAAAGTCCTAACGTTCCTTGGCAAAATGCACCAAATAAACATTTACCTGCTCAAAGAAACAAAAATCCCTTTCACCAAACGGAAGTTATATTTTTTGCCTGGTGAGTACAACACAAAGACCCCAAAAAAGTGGGGAACGGTTGCTTTCTGCTCCCCTGCTAAAGGTTTAACTTTAGTGGCAGTGGTTTAATTCGGAAAACCCAATAGCAAGCAAAAAGCTAAAGTTGTAACATCCCTTGACAAAATGCACCAAATAAACATTTACCTGCTCAAATAACCAAAACATCCCTTCCACCAAATGGAAGTTATATTTTTTCCCTGGTGAGTACAACACAAAGACCCAACAAAAGGTGGGGAAGATGCAACGGCTCTGAGAACGGACGCGAAGCTGCCTGGGAGCTGGTGAAGCAAGGCCAAGGCTTTCTGCCAGGCCCTGCCCTGCACGCAGCCGTGCATGGCTGCCCCGTAGCTCAGGACCTCGGGGAATCGAAACGATCTTCGGCTCACAAAGGACCCCCCCAAAAAAAAGATCGGCCGTTTTTTTTTGGGTGGTGAAGGACTGTCCCTCCCCCCCCAAAAAAAAAGAAAGAACAATAAAATGCTGTTTCCCGGTGGTTAAGGACTGCCCCCCCAAAAAGCACAAAAAAAACAAATACAACAAAAAACACAACACCCGCTTCCTGGTGGCCCAAAACCCGAAAAAAGTCTTAGCCCTAAAGCAAGAAGTGGCTTGCCTCAACTCCAAAAGCCTTCGTCTTGAGGTTTGGAGAACACCAGTTTGTCTCCAATCTCCTTGTGGTTTGGAGATCTTTCCAAACCAAACGAAGGGCGCCCCCCGTACTGGAAAGACCCCTAGGTCGGTTTTTAGAAGCATTGGCGCACTACCGTTGTTTGAAAGAACTTGCGGAATTCCCCTCAACATTGGCATTTCTGGTTCAATCATCAGATATGTGGGTTGGGGACTTGTGGCAGGTATTAGGTGGGTAGCTTTTGTTGTTGGGGTTATTTGTTTCAACAGGGTTCAGGAATACCTATACAAGGATGTTGAAACCCAATCCTCAGAGGGGTAACCATGATTAGCGGTTGGTAATGAAACAACTCTCAGTTGCCGCAGTGATATATGTGACTATAAGTTGTATCCTACGAAAGTGGGTTGCACATCCCAGCTTGACAGGGATTCGTCTGTTGTAGTTGGCTTTGTTGAATTATCAGGTGTGGGACTCGTTCTGGGTAGGCCCTCGTTTTCGTGGAACTTGCGGGGGATTGTCCGGTTTCCATTTATGGGACTGCTCATGCCCCCGCAAGGGCAGTATGCTGACCTTGTATAGGCAGCAAATGGGCATTCCCAAGCAAAAGGTGCTCTACGTTCCATGTTCATCCGCAGGATATTCTTCAGGGAGTTCCACTTTAAGCAAGGGCACCCTCTTTTGGTTGTGAACGGGCAAGCCGAAGGGAAACCACCCAGGTTTGGGCTTGTCAGCAACTGCATGGGGGGCATGTCTTGGAATTGTTTTTGACCAGTCAAAGCTTTCTTTTAGGGCTTAGGGCCGCGGTTGGTGACTAGTTTGGTCAAAACGAGGTGGGCCGACTTGGAGGGGTGAGGGTGTTTGGCTCAAATACCTCCGTGTTTCTATGTGCTATAGTGCTTAGCTCAATCCAGCTAGGGAACTTGTTGGAGGACGGCGTGAAATGGATACCTACAAGAACTTCAACCGTTTACTGAAATTCCTCCGTTTTGAAACGTTGGAAGTGCTAAATCAAGAGACCGCCTCTCGTGGTCCAGTTCGCATTACTTGTGTCTGGCCTCTTGGTGACAACTACAGGCGGTGTGGACATAGTCACAAAACCCGACGGTTTGGATTCCGAAACCTGAAAGGTGGCCTTAAGCCGGGAATTATCTTCGGAAGAGCTCACCCAGGGAATATGCACAAGTAAATAACTTAACTTATATATATATATATAAACATGCCGTAGACATGAACATATTCAGATTAATGCATACATCTATTTTGGTCTATGTTCATTTGTTTGTAAAAGACGATGGCACAGCAATAGGCGCTGCTTCTGCAAAGGCGCGTCTGCAGTCATAGTCGATGCCTCCATATCCTCAAGACCATCTGAGAAGCCGCGTTGCCACGTGCAAAAGAGGGCACATGCTCCTGCTGGTTGAATTAAAAAGGAAACCTCCCCAAAACAATAACGACATGATTCCACTGAAGAACTGGAATGTGCAACTCAGCAACCGGGCAAGCGTGTTTTCACCTTTGACTTGCGAGCCTTTTCAAGCTCACTTGGAAGACCAATCAGAATCCATGGGGTTGGTCTGCGACTTCTCACCCGTGAGTAACAACCGGGTGGCCATCTGACTCGTGCTCGAACTCATAGACGCCTCGCAAGTTTCAGTCCTTCAGCACTTGCAATGCCTGTCGCCACCGCCCAACTCCAGCGCAGCTGCTCAGGACAGCATTGCCTAACTGCAAGCCGGAAGGCGGGACGGGTCTCAAGCAACCGAACGGCCACATTTGAAGAACAAAGAGATGGCACAATTTGCCCCCCCCCCCCCGCCGTGTTGGTTTAGTCATCCATTTTGCTTATAGAAATGGCATCATGCCATTCCCTGAATTGCAAAAACCGAAGGGTAAGGAAGTAAGCCAACAAATGGTTTGCAGGACAAACGCACAACTAAGCCAGCTGTAGGGGAACCGCATACAACCTAGAGCGCAAATAAGCCAAACTGTATTTCGCGGGAATGATTAATGTTCCAGCTACTGAGGGCAAGCAAGAGCTTTGTGGGTAGCGAACGGTGTCATGGCAGCGGGTACTTGGGATGCCTTTCCCACAATGAGTGGACCCTCCCACGGTTCTTCAAGGGAAGCCAAGAGGAAAGTACTGGCAAAGAACAATGACCCAGGAATGATGATCCATGCAATGTGCACGGTGATGCCATAGCATACGCAACAATTTCTCAGGGCCGCTGCTTTTTCTGGAATCAAGGAGGCTAAAACTGGCAACCCCTGGCATTGATAATGCCCTCTGTTGAACAATAAAAGCAGACTAGGGTTCCAACTGAATCCCAGCCCTTCCAAAATGAGGATGTTTCACAGGGCAACGAAGAAACTGAATGTGTCTGACAATGCGAAACGTATGGGTCAAATGGAAACCCCGAATGGTGGCTTTCGAGTTTCTCCGAAAGGGCACGGCACAGCTCACTGCCTGAGCGGATTGACACAAAAAACAAAAACACTTCTCATTTCCACTAAAATGATCTTCCCAAAAAGTGACTCAAGTCCATGAACTCGCAGACAGAGCGTGCCCCCCCTCCCCCCCCTTCCCCCCCCAAACCCCTCCCCCAAGAAAAACCTGATCTTGGTGGCGCCGCCTGCAACAAGCGCTGAGCCTCGACTCCAAGCGGCACACCACGAGATTCAGCTGGAGCTTCGACGCCGCGAGGCCGCAGCAGCTCCGCCACGCGCCCGCGCGCGCCAGAGCTGCGGCGGCCGCGCCCAGGACCACCGACAGCTCCAGGTGCCGAGTCTCGGGGGCGGTTTCGCCGCTTTTCTGTCTGAATGACTCACTTCGCCAGTGGCCAGGCAAAAAAAAGTGCACACTTCTTGGGCCACCACTAGTAAAAGGGAGAGCCGCCAAGGAAAAAAGTGTAGGACATTGCTTTCCCCCCACCCCTGTACCTTATTGCCTACATTTACCAACAATGCATGTAAGATATGTATACCTCATAGCCATGTGAATGGGAAGCGTGGAGAGTGTAATCTAGAAAAAGGATACCAACATAAAGCAAGAAGCTAACAACAAAATGCAGTAGAAGCAAACCACTAGCAAAACCAGCACCAAACAATGCCAGCTTGAACCTAAGCAGAACATGAAAAGGACAAATGCCTTGGGATACATGCCTACAGAGTGCGCAACAAACAGAGAATCTTTCAGCAACAATTCCCCAGTTGGGCATCCAAGGTCAGCTTCCTGAGAAAACGACACAACACCAGGCAAGAAAGAAACTGTAAAACGAACAGCCAAACACGACATCACCACACCGAACAAGACGCACTTCAGCACAAAACAAAACACCACAATATTCTCTTGCTGGTGCTCAGTAGGGAATGAGGAAATGAGCCCAGGGATTCCCCTAAAGGAAACCACAAGGGATGGTGTATAGGGGTCATTCCCTCATTCCCTGCCTATTGCACCAGCAAGCAAAACCATTTTACTCCGCGCTACCACCGCCCCCTGCAGCATCTGCAGCGCTCTGGGCCACTCCGCGCCCGCCGAAAGTGCCGCGGACACCGCGTGGGCCGACGCGGGGGCCACTGAAAGGGCCTTGCGCCAGTGGCTGCCGGCGGTCCAGGAGGTGATCCGCGCAGTCAGAGGCTCCTGGTGCATCATGTTGACCCCAGATGAATCAACCAACCAGTTTGTTTATAGGGGTCTGGGATTAGTGGGGAATCATCACTTTTTTTGTTGGGGGGTCCATGGGTTCCTTTGGGTTTCCTTTGAATACCAACCGAAAGGGGGGTCCACCATTTTGAGAAATATGGGTTCTCAGAAGAAAGCGATTTTCCAAAGTTGCCTTGATTCATCCAAAGGACGCCCTCAAAAAAACAGACTCACAGAAGGAGCCAAATAGTTCAATGCTAACTAGGTCCTCCAGTAGAGAGGATAGAATAAGGGTACCCTTTTTTCTGTAGTCTACTTTCGTAGGGGAACCCTACCCCAAAAAAGAAACTGTAAAAGGGCACCTAGCTGGGGGACCTAGCTAAAAACTATAGACAACTCGGAACTTCGAAGGGCCCAAATTTTGGCCGGTTGCGTGCGACTTTGGCTTCCCAAGCTTCAAACCAACCCATTTTTGGCCAAGAATGGTCGTAGGGATTAGCCAAGGCGCTTGCCGGGATCGAATATGTAGCCCAAAGATGAAACCAGGGCCCATTGATGAAGCATGAGTTGATTCATTCGAGCTACAGCCACTCTGCCAGACCCAAGAAAGCCCCCAACTGACACATACATTTAGGGAAGTCAATGTTGGCGAAAAAACCTGGCCCGAAAGATCGTATATGGAACCTTGCGCTTCATAGCAAGCGGCACAAGAAATGACACCAGGTGTGGCAAGGCAGGGTCATGTTTGGTTCAGCAACCAAATCCAAAAGTGTCACGAGTGCGCTTAGACTCCTCCAAATGGAGTTCTGGGTTCCGCTTGGTCGCCAAACGTTCGGAGTGCCCAGAAGGCGTTCGGATCTTTTCGACACGTGCTTCGAAACCAACAACACTGACACCAAAAAAAAAAGTATGAGAGACACCGGCCTGAGGCACATGCGGAGGACCCGCTCACTTGTAATCACCGTCTGGGTTGCCATCTTTACAAGTGGAGAGTGGTTGCCCAAACTCCAACAAATTATGGAAAGATAAGACTTCTTCGTTTCCTGCAACTGGCATATTGGGTTTGTGTTTTTCAACGGGGATGGGTCACCCCCGACCCCAACCCCACCCCACCCCACCCCACCCCACCCCACCCCACCCCACCCCACCCCACCCCACCCCACCCCACCCCAGCCCAGCCCAGCCCAGCCCAGCCCAGCCCAGCCCAGCCCAGCCCAGCCCAGCCCAGCCCAGCCCAGCCCAGCCCAGCCCAGCCCACCCCACCCCACCCCACCCCACCCACCCACCCACTCACTCACTCACCCACTCACTCACTCACTCTCACTCACACTCACGCTCACGCTCACGCTCACTGACTCGCTGACTCACTGACTCACTGACTCACTGACTCACTGACTCACTGACTCACTGACTCACTGACTCACTGACTCACTGACTCACTCACTCAATCACTCACTCACTCACTCACTCACTCACTCACTCACCCACTCACCCACTCACCCACTCACCCACTCACCCACTCACCCACTCACCCACTCACCCACTCACCCACTCACCCACTCACCCACTCACCCACTCACCATAGGACCCTTTTGCTCGCTTCCTTTCGTGGTTAGGGTTTACGGTTGAGGGCTTAGGCTTCTTTCTTCCACTAAAATGGGCTTCCCAAAAAGTTTGAAGTCCAAGAGCTTGGGAAGTGAGTATGGGTATGGAGCATTGGACGGGTGATGTCCTGAAGAGCATCGCAGCCAATCGATGTCAGTGCCTTCTGCCATTCGCACTCTTGTGCCAACTTCCGCGCTAGCCCGCTCAGGGAGACCTGGCAAGGGCGTGGGCAACAGAAAGAGACGCAAACCGCAAAGCAAACAAAAAGAACATGGAGGCGGCTTGGTTGATAGGTTTGGCAAATTCCATGGCTTTCCTCTGTATAAATACATATGTGTATCCACAAATGTGTGTATATATATATGTGTGTGTATGTTCGTGTATGCCAATGATACAGCCTCCCACTCAATCCCAATCTTCACTTCCCTTCTGAGGACCTCCGTTCAGGACCCTCTGGCCATTGGCAGGCAGCGCCTGGCAGCCCTGCCTCGTTGGGCCGCACGTTGCTTCGCAGCAGGCGGGCCATGTGCAGGGCGCCCTGCCATCGCATGGCCGCACTGGCCGCGGTGTAGCTGACCACGTCAGGAGGGCAGAGGTGCAGAGGCAAAGCCTCAGCCAGCAGCCTGGAGGTTTTCGGACTAACATGACACCTGACTGCCTTTCAGGAAACTGATCCAGGTACCCTCCAGATACTAAATATTGCTATATGGGAGGAAGGGTACCTCTAAGTGGATTGGAATGGTGTTTTAGAGGTTAGGGGGGTGGTTCCCCCAAAACTGTCTGGAATCGGCCCAGGGTTTCCCCGACGTTTGCCGACCAAGCTAAATTTTGACTTCACAAGAAAGAAAACAAGGTTGATTCCGGCAAGACGGCCTTTCTTATGGCTGACTTGATCAAGCGAGTGGGCTTCACCAAAAGGACACAAACACGCCAGACGGGGAAGAATTAAATCGTTTACTGCTTGGCTTGGTAAGTTGAACATCCAAACAAAAGACAACAATCGACTTGTTGGCACCCTGGTATGGAGTTGAACATTGCCAGGAGCAAAGAAGCGCACGCAGCTTCAGCAAGAAACAAACAAGCCGAAAGGCGTAACGTTTGGCAGTGGAACAAGTAAGTCTGAGCTAAGCCCTTTATGTTCTAAATGTAGTAAACTCAAGCAGCCGTGAAGTTTACTGTGACGACGCCACGACTCTCAAGTGCTTAGCCAGTTGCCAGTTTGGTCCTCTCTAGGAACCAAGTAAGAACATAATGGACGCAGGGGCCCACCAAACGAATGGGTTGTCCTGACATTGGGATAAGAGCCTGTCCTGTCCCTTCTACCCTCCTCCCCTTTCCTGACCTAGGCTGGAATTAGCACCCCAAACAATTATATCTTTTTTGCTTCGTGCAAAACAAAGGGACCCCGAAAAAGCAAAGAGGGAGCCAATTCTGGGGAAGAATGGGTGGCTTCACGGGAGCTTCGATCGGACTCCGCGGAAATTTCAGCGAGGGAGCTGCGAAAACCGCGAGAGCGTTCCGCCAGCCGCCGTCACAGGCGCTGATCGCGGAGTTGAAACTGATGGAGTCCATCCGGAGGTTCCTGAGTCGTTGAATGTGGGAAAATGGCTGTTGTCGAAGCCAATGGGATCCCATTTTGGGCTTTTCGGTGCACCACTCATTTTAGTCTATTTAGTGCGGATCCTCTGCAAGAAGCCCAAACCACCACTCCAAACCACCAATTGGGTGTTACCTGAACCCATGGGAAAAATTGTGAAAGCAAAAAAAACAGCATGGTTCACCAAAAGTTTGAACATCGCACCCAATTAAGCACTAAGTATGCTAAAAAGAGCCTTCGTCATAGAGCCCGAGCGCGTTCTACGCCGGACGGCGTCTTTCCAGAATTTTGTGCCCCCCACGTAGGACCCATCTGGATCCGAAAAGTCCCTGTGGAACATTAATTTCGTGAGTTCCTGGACTGTTGGCCTTTTTTGGAAATAAATTATATTTTAGTGGCAAAACCAAAAGTTTGGATTCTGTTTGGCCCATCCACTCAGGAAGTGATTTACCAACTCGAACTCCTCCGCAAATCAACGTGGCACGTTAAAACGAAACCACATCTTTGGGCTTGCCTGCACTGACAGGGGAGTAAGTCCGGAAACTGGCGCTAGGCCGGTTCGAGCGACATGCTCACTGGGGATGCGTTCAATGATACCCAGGGAAACCCTTAGTTAGGACGGCCCAGATTGCTACGCCACCAGGTTCATCCAAGCATCCGGTTCTGGAAAGCGCCCAGCAAGTGCAGCGCCAATCCTTGGTGGCTGAGATGGGCTGGCCCCAAAGTGCTCAAGCCAAATGCCTGGGGGGAAAAAACGGGGGAATTCTGAAAAAGTGACAAGGATATCGCTTGAGATCCATGTTTTGCGCGCGTTTCGCTGCGTTGAACCAGAATCAAGCCCTGGGCATTAGAAAGATGGGCATAGAAGCCACATTGACTGGAGAACAAGCCTCTGAACGCTAGAAAATGGGTGTAAGCTGCTTTAAGCAGCCGGATGGATATTCTTGGGGTCCAGGGATGCGAGTCTTTTCATGAAACCATCAAAAACCCAGGGGAAACAGATCCGGGTTTTTGAAAAGAACGATGGTTGAAAAGAATGGGGAATCAACCCCTAGAGATATGGCTGGGATGTTCCAAGTCTCGCCATTCCTTGGCGCACCCGCAGGCACTGATCAGGGAATTCACGGCAATGATGCTGCAGCTCGACCTGAGTCATCCAAACACGCCACAAGTCTGACTGGGCTGTTCAATATGGAGTGGACTTCCATGCTTAAGCATGGAAAGGTAAACCAGCAAAAACCCGTGAAACTACGTAAGCCAAACTCACATTTTAAGAGCAGGTTGTCTGGATCCCTTCATTTTACCTGCCCCGACTTCGTCCAGACCGGGATATTTTTGGTCGGCGAAGCCCGGGTCCCCAGACTTCGCCAAGTGCAGCGCCCATTGCCAGCGGCCCCCACGGCTGCAGGCGCTCACGGCAGTGTTCACGGAGATCTCGCTGGCCTCGAGTCTCCTTCGACTCGTCGACTGGGTGTGGTCCCTTTCTTTGGAGGACTTGGACCCTCTTGGTTTCCCTTTAAAAAAGCCACAAAAAAGGTTTCAAACCTCCAAAACAGACAGACCCACGGATGGTTTCAAACCCTAAGGCCCTAAGTCCTCCAATCTCAGGCCCGCTGCACGGGAACGTCACCTGTTTGAAGCACTGTTATATTTGTTGTCAAATTTGGGCTCTATTTTCGCCGGGGTTCTAAAAACACCTGATATCTGAAGGCACGAACGGGGAGTCCAGAGTAACGTGCAAATGCATCCCCCCATTTGTGCCATTGGCCCAACGATTTTGACCCCCCCCCCCAATTTTTGCCAATCCCGACTGCAGCAGTCTTCATGTCTGCCTGTCTTTGTTTGCAGGGTATGTTCTCAGTTGCCCAAAGGACGCAATAGTAGGAATCTTTTCGGGTCACCCAAGATAGACCAAAAAGGGAAACTAATATGAAAACTAAAAATCAAAAGGTCGATTTCCATTGGGCAAGTGGGGGTTAAACAAGGATAAACCTCAGTGAAACCAAGTGAGGCCTCAACGGTTGGGGGTGTCTTTGGGGTTGAGGTCCTTCTGGAGATCTCTGCCAGCAGTCTCAGGGCCCTCTGCCACTGAGCAGCCGTGCCACAGGCGTTGAGGGCTGAATTGAAGCTGACCACGTCCTGAGAGCGTCCCTAAAGGCTTAGCACAGGGAGCCAGGCCTCCGCATCCCTTTGAGCTCCAAAATTCAGCCGGAATTTGTGACGATCTTGCCGACCTGCACTGAATGCATGGGGCCCTCAGGAGCTTGCCAAAATTGGACTGGACACTCAGACAGGAAAAGCATCTGGAAAGCTTGGAAGAATGTTGAGGGGGTGGATTTATCTCTAATTTTAAAGGCTAGTCATGTTTGTTTCCTCCTTATCAATCTCTAGAGGGAACTCTCAAAGGGTACCCTCAAAAAAGACACACCCAAAGGAGAAGATATAAGTGTGCCTCCCTGTTCGAGGTTTTTTCTTCCAACGCCCCATTTTGAGGTTCCCTGTCAAAAGGCGAACCGCGAACCCATAGAATCACTCCCTGAGTGGCTTGGCCGACACCAAGCATGTATTGTTCTTTCCCACCGAAATGGCCTTTCCCAATGAGTATGAAACAACCATGATTAGACTTAGGCCCATTTATAGAATGTATATCCTAGTGTTTGCTTCCCTTTGAGTCACTGGCCTAATGTCAAATGTATCCTCAGTCTAACCCAGCAACTTGGGAGATGAGCCTCTGGCACCGACAGCCGCAGCTGTTTTGTTTGGTCGGTTGCCCTCTGCTCCCCTGCCAAAAGTTTTCAACTTTTGGTGGTTTAGTGGAAAACCCATGAGTTAGCAAAACGTTGAAGTCCTAACATCAACAAGCAAAATGGAAAACACATTCGTTGGCAAAAAAAACGTTAAAGTCCCAACATCCGCTGGCAAGCTGCACCTCTGTTGAGAAAACCGGCAAGCCCAGCGAAAGATGTCGTGGCGTCTTTTGGTCGGAGCTTCGGGCTTGGCGACGCAGTCCAGCAGTTGCAAAGCCTGTCTCCAGTTCCCAGATTTGGCGCAGGCGCTGATGGCCTGGTTGCAGGCCTTGCCACGCAGTGACGGAAACCGGGAGTGCAGGGGCTCGGTCCTTTTTGCCGGTCCCTTTTGTTGAAAAATAAATGTTGACCACAGATTTCTATACACCCTTGGTTGATCAATAGGGGGTGTCCCCTTTTAGTGGGGATGCATTACTTTTGGAGGGAGCACTCCCCCTAATCATGGGACGGGTTTATTTATCATGGGTCAACAAAAATAGGAACAATGTATGGAAGCGCATCCTGAAAAACAGGTACTAGTACGTTTGGGGATGTTGTTCATCCTACTAACCATTCCTTTAAGTGGCCCATCTAGGAAGAACCGCCTAAGAAACCGCCGAGTTCTTCCACAGATGGCGCTCATTCTCGAGTACTCACAGACTCTCAGCCCAGCTGTTCAGTTGCCCGAACAAAGCAAGACACCTTTTGGGCCATTTGTTACTAAGTTACTAAGGAACCCACCCAGCAACTGGAAAAACGGGGGGGGGGGGCCTCTGAACAATTTGGGTTGGACCCTTCAGCCAAGAAGCTCGGGTCGGCAATCTCTCCATCAGCATTCACCATGGCTGCGCAACTCAGGGGCCTGAGGCCTCTCATCCCCAGTTCCTCGATTCTGCATGTTTAGTGAACTTTAACATGTAAAAGGGCCCCAAACTAGCTAACATAGATTGGCCCCGCCAGGGACAGTCATTCACCGGATGTAGATCAGCCATTGGAAGAGGAAGCCATTTTTTGTGACTGGTGTTTACATGGATGCGGCCGGAGCGGGACTCAAACAAATGGAATATTGGGGCCACTCGAAAACGATTGCCATGCTGCCTGATGTGATTCAGCTGACTTTCTCAAGTTGCACGGTACTGTGGATGGACAAAATCCATTTCGCACCAGCTGGGATGGATGAGCCAACCACCTATCAACTGGTTGACAAGAATGATGAACCAACCCCGAAAAAGCAGCTGGTTGGCATGGATGAACCCCCTTTACAAAAACATGGTTACCATCGAAACCACCATATTCACTGGTGCCTACCGTAGCCATGGATCTCGTCCATTCACATACTCCGCAGAGGCCATGCCAGGCCATCAGGCCTGGCCTCCCTTTTTGCCTCGCGGCTCAGCGCGCTCGCCAGAAATGCCTGGCGTCGGGTTACCGCGAAAAGTTTTCCCCTCCCGGAGCAACACCCCGAGGAACTCGAACACTGGACAAAGGAAACATGCGCGGGAAACAAAAATAGACACGGCTGGCGTGAATTCAAAAGGAAAAAACAGCGATTACTTGCTTGTTGAGTGCCATGAATCATGGTAACTTACAAAAAGGGATGTCTTTGCCTTCCACTGCCCATGAGTGGTGCTTGCAGCATTCCATCCCCCTTTTCTTTAACGGACAATTCACCCCATTTGGCCATGGGTCAAAATCTCGGCACTGAAATGGGTGGTGGATTCACCTACCAACCAAAATGGGATCCCAAAACGGTTGATCACCACACCCATTTCTGGTTGGTTTCCTTACTGATAAGCCTGGGCCAAGCTTATCAGAGACTCTGCGCAGTTAAAAACAACTCATCCATGGCCTGGTGGCTAACACACCCACCCCTGGCTCACGCCGGTTTTGAGGAATCGCCTGGTCAGAGGTCCGACTTGCCTTTTCGGCCGACCCCTTGCGATGGCCATCTAACTAGCACCTGACCACTTGCAAGTGACCACTTGCCGACCACTTGAAAGGGTGGAACGCGCCCTGAGCAAACTAACGTGCCCCTTTGAAACTAGCACCTGACCACTTGCGATGGCCCGTCTTACAAAGAACAGTTGATATATGCAAAGCCCCGAGTGTTCAAAGCCTGCCATCTTCTGATTCAAAACGTGGCGCGACGTGAAAGCAGGCTACGAGCCCGTGCCTTCCTGCCACCTACCTTTGCGATGGCACCAAGCTGAAGATCACCCAGAAGGCCTCAAAATCCCACAAGATCCGATTGCAGCTGTCCGTAGCTAGCCTTTGCCATGGATGGAATCCAAAGTTCACAACGCGATGTGGGCAAAATGAATTGCTCCCCGCGCGGATGTGCCCTCACTGAATGAGGTTTGGCCATGAGTGCTCTGTCTCGAGGCGAGCTCGGTAATGCTCGCTAAACGATGCCTGTGTCCTGTGCGGGGACTTCAACATCAACTCCCGGGGCCTCCCGGAGGAGCGAGCTATGAGCTTCGGTCGTTCGGCTTTTTTGGTCCGATTCTATGGCCTTTTGCCCAAATATGCCCCATTTCTGAGTGTGGGGCTGGGCTTTTCGGAGGTTTGCATGGGTACCCTTGTTTTGACTTAGTTTTAAGGGAAACCAAAAAGAAAACCGACACTTCCTAGCTGGTCTATGGTCCATTTGGGGCTTGTGACATGGACAAAAGCAACATTGATTTGTTGTTTGTCTCACAATCAGAGGACCTGGGAATAAACGCAGAAAAGCAAGGCAGCTGGGAATCGTGCGCAGGGGAGTTTTTTTGGGGATGGCCCGCTTGTTTGTTTTCCAATAAACGTTTGGACTTTTGGAATGGCAACAAGTAAAATGCTGAAATTCCAAAATATAAAAACACGATTGCCATGGATGCATGGTTTTAAGAGGGAGAACTGTCCTAGTTTCAGATGCTGTCTTTTAACCTACTTGAACTGAACATCAAGGCTTCATCCATACATTGCTCCTGTTCGTGCCACATGCAACACACTTCAGTGCTTGACATGCCTTGCCTTCGTCAGGAACAGCAGTGTGGCCCAGGCTCCCATGCAAGGAGGAGCTTGATTCTTGATGGTTTTTGGGTATATGTAGCTGAGGCGCCCGAACACCTTGGAACATTATTCTTTCGACCCGGACCGCAGATTGCCTATGTGACTCTCAATGGTTTTTGGTTGAAGAACAGCCCCGCTAGTTAAAGGAACCCAGACCCCAGGTTTGAGTCTGGCTCCCACAAATCGACCCCGACGCCGAGGGCTCGAGCTTGGGGAGGGGGGGGTTCAGCAAAGCCGCACGCCGCCGTTTCCAGCTGCAGTCCTCTCTCCTGAGCCAACCGCTTTCCCATGAGGAGGCCATAGTTCCCCCCACCCCCGGCACAAAAACTTCCCCCCCCCCTCCCGGCCAAACCACCCCAAACGACAAGTTAACATAAAACCGTGTTACGAGAGCAAACCATCCCAAAAAAGAACTGCCTGCTACAAAACTCAGCGCTTTTAGCGAATCAGGCTTTCAGTTTGGAAGGACTGGCAACCCCACAGCCAAAAGTGAGCGAGCTGAGCCGCACTATCGACAAGCCAAAAACTAAAGTCCCAAGAAAAGAAGGAAATGGTAAAAGGGCACCTGGCTGGGGGACCTAGTCTCACTTTTATGGGGCCATGACTAAAACTAGACCAAAGAGGAGAAACCAAAAGGTCAAAAGGTCGTCTTTGGGCGACTAAGTAGTTACACACGGTTTTGGTCCTAAAGCTCCGAGGTATTTCCTCCCAGGGGCGCAGGCGTCCAGAGCCTCGGAGAAGCTCACCGCGTTGGCGTCCCCGCGGCTGCGCCGGAGACCCTGGCAGGTGGACCCCGTTCCTTTGCTACGCTGGAATTCGGACCCCACCAAAAAAATACGTATATATATATATATATTTTTTATATATTTGTTGCCTGGTGAGTGGAAAACAAAGGGACCCCAAAAAAGCAAAAAAGCAAAAAGGGGAGCTAATTCTAGGGGAGTTTGGAGGTGGTAACGCAAGGTCTGGGGCCTGCGACGACCGTCAGGTACAACAGAGAAACATGCTCGGACATCTGGTTTCCTCGGGGTACATATTCTTGATTTCTTCTTCCCTGCGCGATGTTTGATGTTCTGAATGAGAAAAAGGCCATCTGCAACCCAACAAATGAAGGTCAACGGTCCAACCAAAAGGCAGCCAAGAACGTCATGGAGGATATGAGGGGGGAAGGACAACAGTATGGCCTTGACAACTTTCTCCCTCGCTGTGCAAAACAACTCGCGCCTCAAAAAGGGAAACATGAGGGCCGCCCCCCAACGCAGGTTACTCACAAAAGGACAACATGGGATTGTGCAAGCAGGGCGTGTGGACCCCCCTTTCGATACGAGTTTTGTGCAGTTGGTGGTTTTTGCTCGCCAGGAACTTCCAAACCTGATAGCCAACGCACTTTGATCGAGATCTTGTTTGCAGAGAACACAGGTTGACAGTGTTTCCATGAAAGCTAAAGCGTTGGTGGGTGAGCGATTGAAAGGTTTCTGCGTGGATATCCTGACAAGTTGGGTGAGATTTCTTTCTCGCATCCTGCAAAGCAGTGCTTCGTGCTTCCCTCAAAATAAAGTAAATGGCTACCAATGTATGGGGATTACTGGTTGAGCAAGCTTGTTGGAATTGGCAACTCTCTTTTCGGTGAAGCCACTACCTGCAAAGCACCACACTCTAGGGAAACTAGAGTAACCACAGCCTCAATGTGCTCCGCTGCAGTTTCAACAGCATGGAACCGACGATTCCCAGGTTTCCCCGTGTCGCTCTCCTCAAAGAGCCTCAGCGCTTGGAGCCACTGAGAACCGCAGGCGCTCAGGGCTGCACAGTAGGTGATCATATCCGCCTGACCAAGGTGGCGAACAAATTTGGTCGTCTGTTTTAGGCCCCCCAAAATGGACTCGGTTTTCATGTTGGTTTCTCTGCAAAACACCAACTAAAGGGGTACCACCTCAAAAAATGACAGATCCATTTTGCGTACTCTCATGTGGCTGTGGGAGGGCGACCTCTGATTTCTACCCGATGCATCCAATTCTTCTTCGAGACCAACAGCTTCTACCACCTTCTGGCACACATTACGGTAACTGTATCATGGGCTATTGTTTGGGTTGTCCCGGGCCAGGGTGATTGCTAAAACGACCTCACACGGGGTGAGTGTTCGTAGGGGACTCCGAGAAACAAGCCTGAGTTCGTGTAGATTCCCCTTCCGCACCTGTGTTGGCTACGGATGTGGGGGAGTTGTTGTGAACCACGTTCAACGGGCAGCTGTGAACCAATCATCATCCTCTCCGTGCCCATGGTGGTGTTCTCTCGAAATGGGCACAGAACGATGTTTCCCAAAAGCAACAGTATGTAGGAAAGCAGAGGAGGACCCCTTTGCCTTTCTGTTTGAGTGTAGCGCAGCCCCTCCCAAAGCTCATAAGTGAAGCCAGCAGCCAGCATATTCCTTGTTTTGCTTTTAAAGCCTCATCCATTGCCGACCGTGTGCAAGTACATAGCATGCCAGCTGCCCCCTCACGCCGCGCGCGATACAGTTGCTGGGACCTGAATGCCGGTGGTTTGCATCAGCGCCAGAAGCTGCACGGCGTGTCTCCACTGATTGCCTGCGATGGCTCAAGCCACTAGGAGCCCGCACGACAAGCAGAAACAGCGACCAAAAAAAGAAGCGAAACGCAAGCCGACCACAGCACTCAATCGTGTTCAAGGAATGCCAGTATATATATATATAAACAGTATATATATATACATATACATATATATATATATAAAACAGTAAATACATATATATATATATATAGATAGATAACAGTACAAACATATATGTAACCGAAGCCACGCCAAGGACAGAATGCCTCCAAAAACCAGAGCAACACATATAGACATAAAGAAACTGCGGCGTGCCAGAGTGACCCCCTCGGCCGGAACTTTAAAGGCAGTGGATGGCCAAACTACGTTGCTGTTGACCCCCCTGCAAAAAGTTCTGAACTTCTTGGGGTGTAGTGCAAAACGCAACTTGATTTCAACCAAAAGTTCAAGCCTAAAGATCCAACCCAATAGCAGTCAAGATGAAGGCCTTTCTCGCAAGCACTGATTGCCGCATTGCACACCAGCAAGTTCGGGCGCAAAGAACCAGCTGCCAGCTCCTGAGCATGGCTCACGGGTTGCAGCTTTCCCAAGATACAAGTGACAACGCAAAAATGCTGAAACACGTCGTGGAATACAGATCTATAAATTTATATATATATACATGTCAACAACACAGCAAGGGAAGATATATCACCGAGTGCCAGACTTCCTCTTCACACGTCCCCCTTCCAACGGAAACTCACCTTGAATGTGCTAGCAAGGAAATGCTTAAACCCACCACAACAGTACATGTAGAGACCCAAGGGACACATTCAGTTTCAGGGGGTCTGATCAATCTGATCAATCTGCAACCAGCCCTGTTCCAAGCTGCTGGGAATTACAGTGAGGGCCATAATTCTTCTAAAACTTGCGCAGGAACTAGCGGCTTTTGGCCCCAATGCACTGAAAGTCTTCAATACTTGCACCTGAAATGTAAAGGGCTATCCGTGATCTTTTGCTCCCCCGACCCCCACCCCAGATCCCACAGCCAAAAAAGTCACGGTTGCGCATCAACGGGGCCGGCTGCTTGCCTGATGTGACCTCAGGTCCTTTCAGGACCGCTGAGCGAGGCCATGTCCTCGAAACATGTCAGGAATACCTTCTTTAGATGTCCATGGCACCCGGCTCATGCATAGAGGAATCTCCACCATTTTCCCTTGCGTGTAAAATGGAAAGTCCTAGCCTCAACGAAGTTGGAAATTTGCCTATATTAAAAATTTGCCTCGCCTTGACGGGGTCCTACGCGAATAAAAGCCCTTATATAAGGCTCTAAGAGGTTAGTACTGCCTTCAACCTCCCCCCGGTCTGCACCCCGAAAAGGCTCCCTGAGCAGTCCTGCAGAAGGGCCAGCGCAATTTGCCACTGCGCGCCTGCCATTTTCCCGATAAAGAGGGACGCAGACCCTTCAACCCCCACCAAGCCAGGCTAAAGCCGGGGAGTCCAAGGTTTTGCTGAGGTTCCGTGCCAACTTTTGAATTGCACACAACTGACGTAGAAACGATGGAGGCTTCGACATCTTAAGGGAATCAGGGACCAAAATTGACACCACCCAAAGAACTTACAAGAGACTCGAAGGGTCCAACTCTACCCCGGGATTCAACCCCAATTAAAAGAATTAAAATAATTAAAAGAAAGGCAAGGACCCAACTTAGATGATGACATTTTTAGGCAAACAGTGGTAGGTATATGAACCCAACCATTGTTGTAACGTTGGTTCGAATCCCGGAATCCTAAGGATTCTCCCCCACCAGTACCCCTGCTTTCGTGGTTTTTGAAGGGAAGTCAGAAGGAACACCACAATTTGGGGGGTCGCTAAAAAGCACCCATACTGCTCTGTTTAGGGTGGCTCACTCATGATCTTTCGGTTTGACCTCTTGTTCCACAGCTGCCCGTGTTTGCACTTGGCCTATTTGAAGCATCATTGTCCTTTGAGCATATGTCTTCGGAAAGGATCAGCCACAGAACCTGACTCAACTTCCAGGGAACCGAATATGTGACCTTCAAGCATCACAAAAACAAAACAAAAAACAAAAACTAACATACTTAAACATACTATGTTGTTATAAGACCACCTCAAAGCAGCAGCCATGAAAATGACGACCATGTCTATTTAACTTCTCCCTGCCTTTCTCGCAGGCACTGACGGCTGCGCCGTAGCTCACAATGTTTGGCTGGTGCCTGCCAACAGGCAGCAGGCCGACGACTCACGGCTGACTGTCTGCGTTGACGGCCGCTGTTCTCTTGGCTTCAGGCTATATCTCAGATGCCCAGTGGCCACGGGAAAAAAGGGGCACCCTTTTTTTATTGGTTGAGTTTAAAGGGGAACCCTTACCCAAAAAAAGCGGAAACAAGGGCACCACTGGGCAACAGAGATCTTCTATTGGTTCATTGTTGCTTCTGTTTTTGTTTCCAGCTTGGTGCCTCCTTCTTGCTTCTGTCTTGGTCCTCTCTCATGTCCAAAATGTCTCCCTCTTGGTTCCCACTTCTTTCATGTTTCCCTCGTCCAACTTCCTGAGTGGACTGGCTTAAAAAATGCAAACCACACTTCTTATTTACCACTACAATTGTCCGCCAACCCCAAACAGTGGCTAAACTTGCCGGTGCGATAGGTAGGGAATGTGTGAGTGAACCCCCTCCCTTTAAAGGAAACCACCTGGATTTGTTTCATTTCGCAGTCTCATCCCATGTCTCCTTCCCTGCATCTCTCGCACCAATCCGGTCCTCTTAAAGGAAACCACAAGGGACGGTTTAGCAGGGTCATTCCCTCATTTCCTGCCTACTCCGGCAAGTGGCAGTGGCTCAAGAAGATGTAACCAAAATGGCCCCCCTGGCACATGGAAACAAAGACTAAAACCTGCGGTTTGCCCCAGCTAGTTCATTTTGAGCCACACCCATATCACCGTCCCCCTGTGCAAATGATAAAAACAAATAACACGCCAGCCAGCAGTTTTTTGAGTGTACAAATTCGACTACATTCCCTCAGACTAATACGGAAGCTGCCAGAAGGCCTCTGTACATGGAACCAAGTCTTCCAAATGGGTCCTGGGAGCTTCCATGTTAGTCTGGGGGAGGGGAAGCAACTTGTTCGTTTGGAGTAGCAAAAAGTGCGTCGCGCTTCGCTTTTTAAAGCTGCCGCCTGGCGCAAAGCTCCGCGAAGAGATGCATCGCCTGCTGCCACTGGGCGTCCCACAGCTCCCCGTGGCCGTACCCGCTGATCACCTTGCGACCGGTCCGAAACGGGCCGGTCCACGGCCCCCTCCCCAACAAGCCGAAATGAAGACGAGAAACGGCTAACTAAAATCCAATCTGTCACGACCACTTCAGTTCTTTCGTTCTGCTCCAAAAAACCGCTTGGGCGCAAAGAAATGAATCCCATCCCCATCTCGTGCACCGCCACATGGGTTCCTCAGCGGGCAGTGAACTACTGATGCCTCGTGGGTTGCAGCGGGGAGCGGCCCCTTTTGCGAAGGAACAAACCGGCCATGGGGTGGATCAAAGCGTCCGGCACACATGGGATGCCCATTCGGGAACCAAACAAAATACGACTTTCACCACAAAGCTACCCATGGTCATTTCAAATCCAAAAATCGTGATCAACTCCCATATCTGACATGTTTCCATTCCGGCTTCTTGCGCTTTGTCTTTCTCGCCCTGCTCCCTCCCCACTCTTTCGAGTCTCCATCTTTGGCAACCCCCCTGCAAGCCTTTTGCGGCTCCCTAAGTAGTCTTCGCGGTGCCAGCTTCAAAGTTAGCATGGAGGGAAGTTACCCAGCCTCTCCATGCCATATGTATATCGAGTTGTGGCAGCGGTGGCCATGCGTTTCTTTCTTGCTAGCCTGTTTGAAGGACAACCACACCCCAGCAAAATGGAAACGGGTGGCACAATAGCTTCAATGGAACGCTACCCCTTGCAAGACAAGAAGCATCATATCGATTCAGATCCTGCAACGCGGCAAGCTACTAACGGGAAACAACCTGCCAGGAACCTTCATGGAATAAAAATGCATAAACGCCATAAGGGTCTCAAAATAATCACCAACATGGACAGAATGTTGATTGACCCCATGTTAAACAACCCCAGTTTATTCGGGGGGTGAGACAGCGGCGCGAAACTCACTTGCTAGGGTCCAAATGTACCCAGCCAGTTCTGTTGGCCGCCGCCTTGGCCGGGCGGCTTCCAAACAGGCGAACCAAACAAAGCGCAGCAAAGGCGCCGCTGTCCAGCTGTTCTTGCCGTCAAGCTGGGAAAACTGCTGCTCGCTTGCTGAGTGGATGGCCCAAAACAAGTCCAAACTTTTATTTACAACTAAAATGGTCGGCCCAAAAAGTTTGAAGTTCATGAACTCAGGAAGTGAGGCTATAGTTTCCAAACCAGCAAAGAGGAATCCCCCAGCAAGGGGCTTTCAGGAGCTTTCGCAAAATTATGCACTGCGCAAAATGCAGCCGATTCGCTTTCAGGTTCCTTGTGTTTTTTTTTGAAGATCATGCACACCACCAGAAAGAAACGCAATTTACATTGGCCCAAAAGCTGATGTTGAAATCATCCAAAGTGGGAAGTACTGTGGATGGACGAAATCCTGCACCACTTGGAAACCATGAGAAACCATTGTTCGTTGGTATTTACAGGGGAATCATGATTCCATGGTTTCTTCGGTGGTGCAGGATTTCGTCCATCCACAGTATGGATGTCTTTTTTGACGGTACCCCTTTTGGATTGGTTTTCTGAACAAGCCATGTTTGGGGTCTCGGCCCCAAATAGCCCAGAATCCCACAATCCCTATGATTCAGCGTTCACCTTGGAAACAAAGAACACACACACAAAACAAAAACAAACAAATCAAACACACACAGAAGCCCATTTTAAGATACCCCAAGACACGGCCCCTGCACTTTCGAAGGCACGTATTTTCAAGGCACCTCAACGGACTCCAATCACTGAAGCCGCGTGGCCGCCGTGTAGCTGTAGACGTCTGGCGTCACCGCCTTGCGCTGCATGGCGCCAAGAAGCTCGAGGCTCAGCGGCCTCAGCGCTGAAAGCGCGGCTTCCCTCTGATTGGTGGGGTGGCTACAGTCTTTCATTGATTTTTGTAAACCATGAATCCAACCACCGATCAGGAGATACCTGAACAAGGGTGGACCCCCAAAAAGGGCGGTTTCATGTTGGTTTCTTCCGTGTACGAGCGAAATACTGACGCATGGTTGTCTTCCGGCGTGTTTGGGCTGAATGTGCGGTCATTGTTTGGGTGATTGGCTTAGTGTTGTGGTCATTGAAGGCAAGTCTGTTGTGACCATGACGAGGCTTGTTTTTAGGTACCGGGGCAATCCCATTGTAATGAATGCACGCCTGTCTGTCCTGCCAAATCCGTTTCTGTCGGAACAAGTCAACAGCCCCCAAACTTGGGGCTGCACTATCCACTGCATTTCACCGAGTCCTGTCCGTGCACGGCCGTATGGCGGAGCAGTTGCCAACCGTTTGATCGAGCTGAATTAAGGGTTCCCTAGCTATGGGACCTTCAGGGCTAAGCGAGCAGGCTCTGCCGTGGCCAGCTTGCCATAACCAGTGCTTCGGCCGTCTTCAGGCCTAAGTTGGAGGTGATGACCCGTTGGGTATGATGTGTTTATGTGTTTTATGAATGACATCCCAATTATCCTCCAGGAACACGTGGCGTTCATTCTCCCCAGCAGACTCAATTTGTTGACGTGCTGTTTGTGGTAAGTGTCCCTTGGCTGTTTGCAGCCCCCCCCCCCCCGGCCGCCCCTTCCATACCAATCTCCACAGAAAAAACAGACCTGAACCCTCAAAGTGCCAACTTAAAAATGGGGTTGACCCCCAAACAATTATGGGGTGATATCCCATTTTATGGGTAGTTTGAGGGTCCAGGGATATCCACCCCAACAGGTCCCCAAGTGGCGCAAACCATTGGCTCCACATGCAACTAAACCGGGCGTGACCCACTCGATCCCAGCGACCGCCTGTCGTCGGAGCCATGCAAATGGAATCACAAACCCTTGGTTGCTTGGTTGCCTATGTTATCTATGGTCTGTCCTCAACTTCCCCCCACTTAAATGAGTTAAATAAAGAAATCCAACCACTAAACAACCTAAAAAAGCCCCAAAAGCCTCTGAACCGGATGGCCGGGCATGCCACCAAGACCTCTGGCTTCCCATGACGGATTGTTTAACAACATTTTGTTTTAGAAACACATATATATATATATACATCTGTATATATACATATTTGTTTTTCTTTTTTCAAAAAAAAGGAACCAAGGCGCCAGTTGCCCGAAATGCTGCAGGCGCTGATGGCCGAGTTCCAGGGCACCTGGCTCTTCAGCTCTTCAGCCGAAACCCAGGGCTTCGAAAAAGCCCGGGGTCTGGTGGTCAAGAAGCCCCCTGGGGGTCCACCATGGGAACCAATGCTTGGCTTCATATGGGCGTGGCTCAAAATTACACAGGGGTTACCCAGCGCAGGTTTTGGTACCCATGCTTCCTCTTACCAGGGCAACCCATTTTGGGGTTACCCGGTTTTTTGAGCCGCAGCCATATGGCCATGGATCAAATCCCAAAATTCCGTCCCAGTGAAAACATCCGATTCAATCCAACCACTAAAATAGGTGCTAAAATGGGTGGCCTGTCCTCAGACGTTTGACGAACTTTTAGTGGGTTAAATGGACATCCCCACTAAACACTAAAAGGCTAAAAAGCTAAGGGGGTGGCTGGGAGCCACCAAGTTCACACAATGGGGCTTCATATTATCACCATGGCAGGCCCAAGGATCGCCACCATCCAAATTGTGTCCCAAGGCCATTCTCTAAAAGGGGGTTGACACGTTGAAGTTTAGGGATACCATACCTATCCCCGGTTGGTGCCCCTGGTAAATCAAACAGATTGGGCTTGCTCCAATTTCGGGAAGCTCTCCTGGTGATAGTTCATCCCTTTTCCGTTTTGGTGTTCTTTAGGGATCGGGGGCTGGTTGCTTCAAGCAGGGAGTTAAACAGGGAGTTTAGTAAAACAGGGCACTGGAAAACCCGAATGTTGCTTCTGTAGGGTGTGCGTTTGTCACACATCAGATGCTGCAAATGTAGATCACCTATCTCATAGCCCCCATGTTGAGCCACTTTCCATTCCATCATGACACCTTCACACTGCGTAATCAAATGGTGCATTGTGCATTCCTTGCATCAATCATTCAAGCAGACTGCACTAACAAAGATGTCATTTTCTCTGTACGCGCGCGCAGATATGCATGTGCATGTGCGTGCGTGCTCCAAAACTCGTACAAGTTCCAATCACCGGGTCGCCTCATTGCTACTGAGGTGTTCATCCTGCAGGGCGGTGAGCAGATCGAGGGCCGCGACCCACTGCTGGCCTGGTGAAACAGCAGGAACTGGTGAAATGATCTGTGTGCTAGGTTTTAACCAGGGTGAGTGGGCGAACCCCTGGTGTTCCACCCATGACCTTACTAACAACCTGCTTGCCGAGTAGGCTGAACATGGAAGTGGAGGCCCTTTGAACAATATTTCTCTATGAAAGGAACCTTGTGGTGCGATCCATGTTGGTGGATAGGAGTGCATTCTTACATGGGCTTCTCCTCTATCGGGGGACCCCTTAAGTAGGTGGTCCTCCTTTGCTTTCCTTTGAAACTACAACCAAAACGTGTATGCTCAACAAAGGACATACCCGCCTACACCTCTCAAACATCCGCTGAGAAAATCACCCCCAAAGGCAGGCCGTGGCGCCTATTTTCGGAGTATTCGCAGCTTAGACACTGAAAGTGGGGATTCTGCCCTCGCCCGACTTCCAAAAAATTGGTCTGCAATTGGCTTGTCAAGACGCTAACTGCGGTTTGCTGAAACAGAGGCGACCAAGCTTGGGTTGCGCTCGCGACTTTTTCAACGCCAGCTTCGGCAGATCCCTGAAGCCGAGTACCAGCTCCAAACGCCCGGCGTTGGTCGGAAGAATGCGGACGCTCAGGTTAAGGTTCCGCAGCATTCCTCGACAAGGGTCGGTTCACGAGGCTTGCAATCTTCAGCGGTTGGTCATAGGTGTCAAGCCAGCTGAAAACAAACAAATACTCAAAAACAAATACTCGCCACAAAAACTTGTACAAGTTGCTGTTGCTAGTCAGCTTAAGGTGTGGAGGTGTAGAACTAACTTGAACATACAAAAAACAAAAAACAGCGGATACTGATAGGCGAAGGTTCGGAGAACTGCTGCCCGGACATTGGCAGTTTGCCATTCATTCCTTGACTTGCCATAGCCCGTAACCACCTTACTTGAGCAGCTCACCAGGAATAAAACAACGACGACCTTGGTTTTGCCGGTTGATCTTGAAGCTCGGTGCTTTCAAAAAGCACCTTCGCCCAACCCAACAACAAGGCGACTTTTCTTGATTTCCGTGGGAAGCAACAAGAACATGTCCTTCCCCAAAGTTAGGGACGCTTGATTTTTCAAAACACACAACCCCCAAACGCAGAAGGAACAAGTGGTCGGCCTCAGCTTTCCTCTAGCTGGTAATTTGGTTTAGTGGATTGGACGTTGGGGGGGTACCTTCCCCATTTGGATAAAAAAATGGAACTTGTTTTCGAATCCAAATCCAAAGCACCAATCCAAACCGCCAACTTTTTTGGGGTTGCCTGAAATACTCACCTCCGTGGATTGGCCCCACAATAGTGCACACTTCTTGTTTGCCGCTTCACTCATTCATGGTTTTCCCTAAAAGTGACTAAAGTTCAATTCAAGTGGATAGAAAACAACACATCATGATTAGACTTCGGCCCAGTTATAGAGTGTACATACTTTTGTTTGCTTCCCTTTGAGTCACTGGTAAAATGAAAAAAATGTATCCTGAGTCTAACCCAAACATCCCCCCGGACGAGAACCTCCCTGGAGCGCTTGCCCCGTGCCAGGCGGCGATGCATAGCTTCGGCTCCTGCGATCCGCGGAGCTCACGGAGCTCTGGGGCGACCTTGGCGCTGAGCCACCAGCGGATCGCCAGCTGGGCAGAGCCCTCCGACAAACCGTGGAGGTCGATGATTTCCGGCTTCGCCTTGGGCGATAAGAGAACAACTAGGTCCTCCAGATTTGAGAGGATAGAATAAGGGTACCCGATTTTTTCGGTTGTCTATTTTAGTAGGGGAACCCTCCCCCCAAAAAGGGTAAAAGGGCACTACTGGGGGACCTAGTCAACCAAAGCCCTACAAAGGAGAGTTCAACAAAGGCGGGTGTGTCCGTTTTCTGCACTGCTAAAAGTGAGTGACTTGCACGGTTAAATGCAAACCCGACCACTAAACAAAACTAAAAACCCAAGGGGATGGCCGGGAACCAAGTGAGAACCTTCTTGAATCCATAGGCTCCCAAAGTGATGAGCTGGGTTGACTTCAACAGCTGGAGGTGACATCAGTTGATTTGCCCCTCAAGTTGGGCGCTTGAGCCAATGGATAGGTTGGTGTTGCTCGGTTCCCAAGCAAGACTCACAGGGTTCAAAACAAAAAGGCATGGGCTAGCCCTGGCGTCACGCAGGTCCTCCGAACATTTTAATCATGAACTTGGGAAGGCCCTCTGAACTGCTCCTGGTTTTGGACATCAATTTGCTTAAGTCCAGTGGAAACACATATAATGTCCAGTGATAGATTTCCTTTCACACCTACAAGGGACAATAGCAAATATTCTGAAGCAAATGGAAGAATGGCTTACCCCTGGATATAGAGGGTCTGGACATGTTTTATGGAAGCAGGTTCCCGCGGTGATGCCACGCAAGCTCCTTTGACATAGTGGAGTTGCAACAGGGTCATTTCTCAACCCTGGACTGCGTGCTAAACAAGGGTTGGCCAGCCCAAACCTTCATCCCAAATTGTAATCCAAGAGAGGGGGGGGCACATTTCCTAACCCAAGCCAAGGGTTGAGAATTGCCTTAGAGCCTGGGTACGTTCGCCTGAAAATAACAATGTGCTTGTAACTTTGAGGAACCAGGATTTGCTGTGTTGCACACACACACACACACGTGCACATACTCACCAACCAACCCACCCACCAGACCACACACACACACCCACGCACACGCACACAGACACGCATGTACTGGCCCATACACTGACGCTCACGTGATTACACACTCACACATACTAATAATATTGCCACATATCCATATTCAAATACATGTGCATACATTGTAGCGCACAGACTCACCGAACACACAAAACAACAGAAAACAACTGCAAACAAAATATTCACATCCAACATGCACACACACACACAATCACGAAAACCGGAACCCGCGAAGGTCAAACGTGGTCGCTTTCCGTTTGCAAGCAAGCTGCCGAAGCTACGCTTGGAAACAAGTCAGCGGTCAATGCTTGCCCGAAGTGCTCCGCCCCAGCAGCCCTCTGATGAATAGCATCCAGCAAGCAGTTGTAGCTCGCTGCATCTGGCTGAAGCCTTGTTCGCCCAGGAAACACCAAACAATATGCAACTGTTTGGCTAGGAAAGTCATCGAACTCCAAAAGAAGAATAGGGATGCCATTGCATAAGCGGGAAGCTTCGCCCAAAGCATTGCTCCGAAAAGGTCCAACGCTTCTTGCCATTGCCTGCCTTTCTCGCAGGCACTGATGGTTGCATTGTAGATGACTGTGCTAGGCTTGCAGTTTTGAGGCAAGCCCCCAAGCAGGTCCAATGCCTGCTGCCAGAGCCCTGCTTTCTCACAGGCACTGATGGCTGCGCTGAAGCTAATCATACTCGGAAAAACTCGGGCTTGGGGCATGGCAGCAAATAAATCCAAAGCCTTCTGCCACTGACCTCCCTTGACACATGCGGTGATGGCTGCATTGTAGCCAATAGTATCAGGTCGAATCTTTGCTTGATGCATTGACTGAAACAAACATAGCGCTTTCTGCCACTGTCCAGCCTTCTCGCAGGCACTCAAAGTAGCACTGTAGCTGACCATGCTTGGTTGAAACTCGGTGCGAGGCATTCCCCCAAACAGGTCCAATGCTTTTTGCCACTGTCCGCTCTTCTCACAGGAGCTGATCGCCGCATTGTAGCTAATCTCATTGCTCACAACTTGTGCCCGAGGCATTGCGTGGAATAGGCTCAACGCGTTTTGCCATTGCCCAGCCTTCTCACAAGCACTGATGGCAGCATTGTAGTTGATCGTGTCAGGCTGAAGCTTGACCTTCGGCATAGACCCAAACAGCTGCAACGCCTCCTGCCACTGGCCGTTTTTCTCGCAGGCGCTGATAGCCGCGCTAAAGCTGATGATGCTGGGGCGAAGCTTTGCCTGCGGCATGGCTGCAAGTAGCTCCAAAGCTTTCCTTGGTTGGCGTTGGAAGGGGAGCAACAATTTATGTTTTAGCAGTTAAGTGGGGGTTTCAACCACTAAACCACAGCAAAAATGGAAAATGTTTCCCAACAACAATCATGTTTCTGCCATTGACTCCCCTTCTCACAGGCCGTGATGCTCGCATTGTAGCTGACGACATCTACCTCCGGCATGGCCCAGAAGAGGTCCAAAGCCCTCTGCCACTGCCGGCCTTTGTTACAGGCGTTGATTGCTGCGCTGCAGCTGAACACATTGGCCGCAACTTGGGCCTGCATGGCTGACAGCAGCCAACATGCTTCTTGCCACGATCCTCGCTTCGCAGAAGCCGAGATCTTGGCTGTCCAGTCCCGCGCGAGGCGGGACTGGGTGACCTCGCCGTGCAGGTGCACTCCATCCAGTTTTCGCTCCAGTTGCTTGTCCTCAAAATCCCCGCGGCCATGGGAGACAAAAACGGCACCCGCACCCTTTGGCGAGTTGTTGAAAATCAGTTCAAAGGGAATTCATTCCAGAAAATCTATAAAGGGGGTGTAATCCACTGGGCAGCTGCGTCTCGGAGAGCAGATTCTTGCACCGTGAGATTCTGACTCCGCGCGGTGCCATGGCTCGATCGACACGTCCAGGCTGAAATATCACAGAGGTGGCTCTGGTTTGCATTCACTGTTGCCCGAAAAACAAATTGACCGTTTGAGGGGAAACGAATCATTTTCCCAGACAATTCAAGGTTTTCCAGCCCAACATCAGCCAAGTAACATGACTGAAGACCCTGAAGTGCTCTGGAAAGAAAACGGCCAACCGTCACTGAACTGACTTGATTGGCCACCCTTGGGCACCGGATCTAGTGGTTAAAGCGGTTGACCCTTCAGCATGTGCCATGAAGCATCACTGCCAAATTAGGATGTATCGAAACACTGCCCTTTGTGGATGGCTTGAAGGTGATTCCTGTTACTCAGTCCTGGCAATGGATGTCCAACTCAGTGCTTGCGTTGGGAACCTGGTCTTTCCCACCCCAGCCTAAACTCAGATGCCCAGTGGCCATGGGAAAAAAGGGCATC